AATTTCACAAGCCTCTGCAATTGCAGGCATCTTTTTTTGGATTTTGGATTTACAGCTTGATTCCATACTGTATTTTTGGTACAAGTATGGAATTTTCAGCATGGATATCGGTAGCCCAAATTTCGCAGGCCGACCATAGATATCAGGTGTGCGCCGGCGTGTGCTCGAACCCCGGACCATGTGCATGGTCGGCGAGAGTCCTAACCACTGTGCTGCCAACGGTAAATGACTTGACTGTGTCGATATCATGTCCGTAATCTACAAGATTTTTTGTTATTGAGGATTTTGGCACTTTGAACTCAGCTGTTTTCAACCAATTTGGCAAATGCTCCATCATGCGAGTAGACGATCGCATTTCCGTACGACCTATGTATTTGCTGCCACAAACACACTCAAATTGATATATGCAGTTTGAAGTGTCAAGGATTGGCGACTGGTCTTTCCTAGATTGTTGAAGCACTCGCTTGGTAGTGTTAAGGGTAACAAGTTTTGCAGCATAATGAGTTCTCTTGATGGCTTTGTCGAGTCTTTCTTTCACTACTTCCTGCACGTCACCTCCTTTGAACGGCAAATTGATATAGACAGGTTTCCATGGAACTGTTTGAATTGTTTTGCAGGGGGAAGTTGTTATGTACTCGTCGCCAAATTATTGTTATGTACTGGTCGAGAATTTAATAGTCCTGACGCAAGAAAGACAGAAATCAGAACACTAGGTTTGCGATGATACTTCTATACTCCAAACACAGGGAGAATCAATATGTCACACAAGAGTGAGAGAGCAAAATATATATGAATGTCCAAACAAGTGTGTGAACAAATCAATAGACAGTCTTAACATGAATGGCTAATTATAATGGGGTATCGATCCATATATACATAGCGAAATATAACAGACTGTCAAACAAACACACATATTATATGGATATATATCACCAAGGACAGACTGTCAACAAACACGCATATTATATATAATATAAGGGGAATATACATTGTTAAAGGAGACAGGTTCATCAAAGTGAAATGGTCACAGACTAAGAGAGCAACAGAAAGAGAGAACACCATACACATATGTATATATGGACACATATCAGTAGTTTCTTTAGTGTATTTATTAATGAACTTCTCAGGATATCCATTCTTAGATGAGCTTTTATTTCATGTTCAATAGTACTGTCAGAACAAATTTTTCGTGCTCTATTGAACAGTGTTCCGACTAGATTCTTTTTGTACTAGATTGGAACAAAGCTCCTGAAATGCCTGTACTGTCCTGTCCATGAAGACTTTCTCAATATAGATCTCTCGATTGTGCCATCATTCATTTTGGCTAGAAAAACGTCTAGGAATTTCATTGTATCGTTTTCCTCGTGTTCTACTGTGAAATTGAGGTTTGGATGGCATGAATTGAATTTTATCAACATGTCTTCCGCTTTTGATCTGCTTTCACAGACAATAAAAATGTCATCAACATATCTTGGGTATACACCCGTTTCTTGTATATGTTGCTGCAGAGTACCGGTTTCTAGGCGTGACAAGAATAAGTTGGCGAAAAGTGGTCCCAAATGGCTTATGAATCATGAATTCACGACGCTCTACTGACTGTCGAAAATGACGTATAGCACAGTAAATAGCCAGAAGTTCTCTGTCGAATGTGCTGTACTTCGTTTCAGCTAATTGAAGGCGCCTGGAGAAAAAGGCGAGTGTGTGCCACTCATTGTCAACTAGCTGTTGTAGAACTGCACCGATTGAGGTATTTGATGCATCAACCGAGATACTTAACGGTGCCGTTGGATCCTGATACATCAGAAGTGTGGCATTCGCAATAGCTTTTTTAACCTGGGTAAAAGCATTTCGAGCAGACGCGTCAAGTTCTATAGACTTGTTATTCCCTCGAAGAAGGTCTGTCAATGGCTGAATCAGAGAGGCACAGTTTGGAATAAAGTGTCAATAATAACTTACTAAGCCATTAAAAGTGGGGAGACTTTTCACTGTCTGTGGCTCTGGAAAGTTCAGTATAGCCTCGACCTTAGTAGCCAGTGGGAGGATGCCCTTCAGTCAATAGTGTGACCCAGAAAGTCAAGTGAGTCAACACCGCTCTGACACTTGTGAATATTAATGGTGACACCATGTTGGCGTAACCTTTCAAATGCCAAGTCCAAGGGCCTAAGGTGAGTTTCCTTGTCTGGACTGGCAATGAGGCAGTCGTCTAAGTATGCGTATACAAAGTCGAGACCGCGAAATACTTCATCGATGAAACGTTGGAATGTTTGGGCTGCATTCCGGAGACCGAATGGCATACGGAGAAATTCAAAAAGTCCGAAAGGCGTGATAATAGCCGTTTTCGGGATATCTTCTGTTGCCATCGGCATTTGGTTATACGCTTTAACCGAGTCGATTTTGGAAAATATAGTCGCGCCTGATAAGGTTACCATCAAGTCGTGTATATGAGGCAACGGGTAGCAATCAGGGGTTGTTTCGGCATTCACTCGACGGTAATCACCGGTGGGTCGCCAATCATTGCTATCCTTTTTCGGAACCATATGAAGTGGGGATGCCCACGGGCTATTCGAAGGTCGAATGATGCCAAGGGTAAGCATATGGTCAAGTTCATTCTTGGCGATTCTCAGTTTGTCAGGAGCTAGTCGTCGTGCTTTGGATGTCACGGGTTGTCCTGTGGTAATGATGTGGTGCATAACATTGCTGGTTATGCACGGTAGGTCGTTAGACGGGCAATTAAGTTCCGGATATTTGTCAGCCATAGGTTGAAAAGTTGGATCAAGGATGGCCTTTATCTTAACGGGTGACAAGCTGGGGCCCATGTAGGTAATGCCCTTGATAGACAGACTAGTAGTATTATCAATCAGTCGTTTTCGGTGGACGTCTACGAGTAAATCATGATGATTAAGTAGGTCCGTGCCAATGATGAGCATTGTGACGTCAGCGAGAAGGAAAATCCACCGAATAGTTTTGCTTAAGCCTACGTTTGGATAGACGTAGTTCCTACCAAAAGTTGCGATTGGTTTTCCATTTGCAACCTGTAAGTTGAAGGTAGGTTCATTCTGCCGATCTGATACTCTAGCAGGAAGGACGCTGACTTCGGCGCCTGTGTCGACTAAATATCGAGTCTGGCTGATCACATCATGGATGTAAAGAAGGCGGCTATTGCCACCGGCGACGGTTGCCGCTAACGCGTGCCGGCGGGATAGTTTCCCACAGACTTTGAGACATTTCCGAAGTTACAAGGCTTACGGCAACACTTCGCTTCTTGGCCATAGGTGTTGTGGTACCAGCACCAGTCAGGGTTTTTTAGAGAACGGGGATTGGACTTAGATCGACCACGTGAGTTTCGGCGTTGAGGAGATTTAGGACGACGGTCGGAGGAGTTAGAATGCATGTTCGGCCTAAACATCTGCTGGATGGAGTTGCATAACTCTATCATTGCAGTATCCTTACTCAAAGTCTGCTTAGTCATCGAGCATATTTCGGGAACAGACCGTCTAGTTATTTCTAGAATCCTATCAGCAGAAATAGCTAAGTTATCTATTACAACACCCTGAAGCGTCACAAGTACGGTCTGTACAGACTGTGGCAGCTTGGATAAGAAGAGCTCTCTAAATAGTCCTTCGTCGAACTGACTGGCCACTAACTTCTCTCATTCTTGTCAGCATGCTCACGGCTGACTGATCTCCTAACTCGATGTTACGAAATAATTCATCCAGCCGCTGCCGGTTCGTGAGAACGTTTTTCCTGAGGAGGGATGTTTTGAGCAACTAGTACGAGTTATTCACCTCGGGACTTCACATCTGTGAAGTTACGTACTTGCTGAATTCCCGCGGTAGGGCGTGAATAACTGAAAGGAACTGCGAACAGTGATCGGTTATCCCATGCTCACAAAAATCTGCTTCAGCTATCTAAAACCACGTTCCGGCATTATCTGGCCAGTATGGTACGAGCTGAATGGTTTTAAGAGTTGAGCGGATACGAATGATCATGGGACTAAGATCACCCATGACGAAAATTATGTCGAATAATATATGGTACAAGAACAAATACAAAATGAAACGAACTCACCGGGGTTATCTGCGCATTAATCGTGGATGAATTTGCGGTTGCGCCCATCAGTTTAGAGGTTGACGGTATAGACGTTCACGCACAGTACTGAGTATATTAACGCAAATCCTTATGCATCAGCTTCTGACTTACTAATTCTGGCGTACCAAAAGCAAAGCAAAAGATACTATTTGATCGTCCAAATTACGCGATATATTTCAGGACCAAAACGAGTTGTTAGACGAACGCTTAGCTGGCTAGTGATCGTACCGCACGCGACAAGACGGAGTACCAAGTGGCGGGGATGCTTGACCGAAAGCCCTCAGCTAAACAAGTCGAATTAAACAGTGGTGGTCAGCATCTACTGTTGAGCGATTGCTGTGGTCAATAATTTTGGGGAACTATTTACAGCTACAGGCTAAAAATGTTTCTTGATGCAAAACTGCACCTGGGAGAAACTGAATTAAGAAAAACCTTTGACGGGAATTGTGGTTGACTGTGTTCATCAACGCTTTCGACTGTGTTGGGAAAACAGGAGTTAAACAGGATTTTCGCACGAATCTCCCACTTGTCTAGATGGTATTATCTCGACTACAAATCTCACGAATCGGAACGTTAGAGCCAGATGGGTCTGAGAAAGCGAGAAAGATTATCATTACTCTGAAAGCAGTAAAGAAATTTACATTATTCAGCATAGGGAAGAAAATTCGGATTTCCAGCATACTTTACACTTTCATCAACATCTGCTTCCCGCCACTGTGAAGATCATATAGCCAAATAGAACCGGTAACAGGGAATTCTGAGAACGAACCAACAAACAACCAGTCGCCCAGCGAATTTGCAGAACTGAATGCTGATGGATAGGGAACACACTGAAAAGACCGCTGAATGACATCATGTATCATGCTCTAGAGTGGAAACTGAGTAAGAAAGGACAGGTTGAGCGTCCGACAATGACGTGGAGGATATCGTGTGAGGAAGAAATGAAGGCTAATGTACAGTAGTAGAGCCAGCTATTAATGACTGCAGATGGTTAAGAAAAGGGAAGGTGCTGATTAATTTCTAGAAAACTGTGGGCTGATTTTGTTTGCTGCATCACTAATTCCCTTGACGAGTAGCTTTGATATCTGCCAGTCATTTTTATTGGAACATTGTTCATTTCAGTTGTGGCTTTCAAAAATACTCTCTACAAGTGAAGGTTCCTATTTATCGAGACGAGAGTTGTGTTAGGATTTCTGCATTATTTCCATATCCTATGAATTCCAAGAAATCAGACTCTTTAGACTTTTGGTGTGTAGATGAAGTGGTTCGTAAAACGAAGTCGACTGTTCTTGTACTTGAGTCTTTGAAATCGGAGCAGCAGCAAATATCTACGGAGTTAAATTCAGTACAGAAATCAGAGGAGGATGGGGAATGTGAAACAATATACATTACAGAAAAGTCAAGTGGATTAGAATCGATTATCAAGGATATATCTAAAGGTCTGGAAGATGCCGGCGTAAGTTGCTTTGGTTTATAAAATAACTTGCTTAAAGGATCTTATGGTTGCTTGTGACTATCTCCAAAAAGTGGAAGCGGAGAAGCAGAAGTTAAGGTACCAAGCCCGACGTCTTTTCCAAGAAAATGCTTGGTTGAGAGATGAGCTTGCTGCTGCTCAAGATGCCCATAGAAAGAGTGAACTTAAAATTGTCCAACTCGAAGAGCAAGTCAAGGGCCTCCAGTTTAACAATGAGTTGCGGAAGTTTGATTCTTCCGAACCTGTGGATTCTTCTGGATTAGCTGATGGTGATAAAAACGAAAGGACTGCTTTGGACCTCGGCTTTCCTCCAGATGATAAGGAAGAGGGCGATCAGTATGGTAAGCATTAATAAAGTTGTGTTTCGTTGTCGTAGTAATTGCTTATGAATTTAAGATGTTAGTTGTTAATTGTTAAGGAGGTATATTGCTTTAAAATTATCCACACTAAGTTCTGGATCATTGGGATTCATCTATCCTGTTACAAACTTAAGTGACTACGAAGTTTCCCTCCCATGCAGTTTGACGAAGGATGGCACAGAGTTGGGTGTAACCGACACCGGTCTATATCTTTCGGTCACCAGTTGAAGTTTCAGCGAAATTAATTTTCATACTATTTTACGTGTACAAAACTATGAGTCAAATAACTTGATTTATGGTGTTGCAACTTAGTAGTTAAAACGGGATTTAAACCCTGGATTAACTGACAGGAAGTCAGGTTCATAAATCTAATATCCTAGTCCTAGTATTAATTGCAGGCGTTCCCACAAAATGTAAAAAAACGAGGGTTGTTAGGTGTTCTCAGGGTTACATTAAATATTTTGGTCCGCATGATGATTTAGGGAACGATAAGTAATAATGTTGATGACAGTGAGCTGGTCTTTCCGTCTTCATTCCTGTTTGCGCAGAGCTATCATTTTTTCTACTTGATGTAGACGATGGGTATTAATATTGGCTTGGATGTCATTGATTTGATAAAGCCAAAATTGTGGTAATATTTTTGGGGCAGACTGCTAGCCATGAAGTCATGATTGATGCGATAATGAGTAAAAAATTTCTCTACCACTAATAGTTTTTATTCCCCAAATCAAGACAAAATAGGTGAAAGATTCAACGTCAAAACAAGAATTTTGATTGCACTGGTAATGTCGATAAAAATACTACTGATAAGTAAAGTCAACTCATTAAGAAAAAGCACAGTAAACAGAGTAAATAAATAGTCCCCACAAAGTGTCGCGAGAACAACAGTTTTTTGTAAGGGTGTCTTGTGGATGGTGCAGATTAGTGATACATCTGAAAGTTCCATTTGTGATTAGCCTATGACTGCGTCTTGTACAGATCATACTCAAGTGCTTAGATAATGTCAGTCTCAAAGTGAGTGTTGTGAATATGCTACTCATGCTTATTGGCTTATCATTGAAACTAATGATTTTATAACTAGCGTTTAATTTTCCTTACAGGGAAGTATACCTGTAACCTTTATATGATATCAATTATTCTAATATGACTAGTTTAATCGGCCTTTGCTTCGTTAAAAGTAGGATACCCTCAGTTTTTCGTTGAATATTTGATATTGTTACATGATCAGAAGGCATTTGTCTATTTAAAACTGTCTTGTATAATCTCGCTTGCTGATTTAAAAAAGGTCGGGTATTATAAATTAAAAATAATAAAAGATATCAATTCAAACACGAGACTGACCTGAACCGCTCTTTTTACTTCACAGAAAATTCTACACTATCAAACATATTACTTAAAATAAAGCTACTGTTATTATTTTCTTTTGAGCTGATTTATTTTTGATACTAGCATTTTCTTTCAAATTATAGGAATGTCACAAAGTCAAACTGTATCCATGACTCAAGGCGTTCATAACTATGAGATTCCAACACGCTTGCGAACGCTTCACAATTTGGTTATTCAGTATGCCAGTGAGGGTCGTTATGAGGTTGCAGTTCCTCTGTGCAAGCAAGCCCTGGAAGACCTAGAAAAGACCAGTGGACGTGATCATCCCGATGTTGCAACAATGTTGAATATCTTAGCACTTGTGTATCGGTAGATTTTATTGTCATGTTTTGTATTTTTTTCTAGCGATCAAGGTAAATACAGAGAGGCGGCAACTTTGCTAAATGATGCTTTGACTATCCGAGAAAAAACTTTGGGTCCTGATCACCCCGCTGTAATTTTTTCTATTTTAGTCTTAATATTATTACCTTTCAGGTAGCCGCAACATTAAACAATCTGGCTGTGCTCTACGGTAAACGTGGGAAGTATAAAGAAGCAGAACCATTGTGTAAGAGAGCATTACTGATAAGAGAAACTGTAAGTCAATGTTTGATATATATATGTATATACTATAGGACAATTGACACTGGCCCAGGTTAAGGAGTAGACTGGTTGGATATGCCGATTATTTCACTTATTTAGTAAGCCGCGTTAAACTAATGGACTAGTTTGTGATGAAGCTCTAACCCGCATTCTGAAGGCCGGTTCGGCTTATCCAACTTGCGTCAACCTTGGCTCAGTTGTGTCATCTAGCTACCTATTTAAGTGCTTATGTACTGTGCGTTAGTTCACTCTTGCCTTCTTTACAGCTGAGACATGGTCACTGCAGTTAGGTGATATGGTGTTTATTATTATAGGTTCTTTCGTCAGTTACTCACATTAAAATGGAAAAACACAATAAGCAACAGTGAGGTTCAACTTAGAGGTTTCGGTAAGAAGGAAAAGTCAGTCATTTAAGATAACTTGGGTCAAGTCTTACTTCGGCTAGTTAGGATCTGGTTACAATGGATAATAGTTATGGGTATCCAGACTAAAACAGGGCTTTAGTTTGTAGTCATTATATTTTAGTGTGAGTTGCTTAGGGATGTTCCTTGGGACCCTAAAAATCGTTGGTTAGGGACCTAATGAAATGACTGAAAGTTGCTTACAATGGTGGAGATGTATTCGCTATTTGTTATCTTGCAGTTTCTGAAATTGTTCACTAATATCTATTCTTATTCTCCTGTACATTATCATCCATTTTAGTTGCTTGACACTTATCGTCTCTAAGTTAATGCTTAGTTTTATAAAAGTGTGGCATGTTGAACTGACATACTTTTGTGTGAAGTTTTGCATTATGTCAGCCAGTTAGTTGTACATAAGGCTATTATTCTTTATGTTATAAATAAACTTGTAGTGAATGTCAATTGTTTTTATTTTGGTTACATTTATCAATTTGTAAACAGCTGACACTATTCCGTGATAGATGGCATCTATTAGTAAAATCTGAGGAGTGTTCAGTCCTGTAACGCTTTTGTTAGTCAGATTTAGCTGCAGGGAGACCAATCATTTCAGTCCAATAAAGCGTAAGCAACACTTGCATTAGAAGTTGCTGTCGTGGCTCACTGGCCTAGTGCATAACTTATTGCACCTTTAAATGATGAATGGTCAGTTTGAGCCTCAGCGCCAACATCTCTCACTGGGATGCAAGTTTTTCCATACAGAACTTCAGATCAGATAAAACCTCCATTCTTAATTCTACCTTTAAGCGCCATCTGTTATATAACATTAAATGAATACTGAAAACTTTGTCGAGACATCTGCTCATATACCGACGAAAACCCATCATTCCTCTTCACTAAGACAAAACGGGAAGTTAATGTTTTAATATTTTCTGTTATATTCCAATTCATTATGTTGAGTAAGATTACTCCAGTAAATAATGCTTCATACTGCTTGTTTAAGTGTTGTTGCTACTATTTATAGAATTATTTTATGACTATTCAATACTTTGTAACCATAGAAGAGCAGATTGAAAAGTGCAGAATCTCGCTAAACATTGCATTGTTTCACTGTTTCACATCTAATCAATCATCGAAAGAGAAAAGAAAGAACTGAGTTTGTCACAACTTTCAATAATGTTGTGTTGTGTTTCTCAAGTGACCTTTTGTTCGTCCCATTTTCACAAAGTCACTTTACATCTGAAAAGTGAAAAATAATACTGTCCGTGTTATTACAGATGTGCTTAGTTAAATTAGTGTGTGGTGTAATTGTTTCCAATGTTTGTTAGGTTAAATAAGTTGTGTTTGTCGCTACCGGGTTTATAAAAACTAGATCTAACATACTATATTAAGAGAACCAATCCACTTTGTAGTTATTACGGGAAGAATTCATCCCTGTGTTATGTGGGTCAGTGAATAGTTTGGACTTAGAAAAAAGAATGATACTTGTGTCTCCCATTGCAAATAACACCTATCAGATTAATTGGGATCTTTGAAACAAATTAGTCATTAAAATCTGTTGCTACTCCAAGTTTATTTTGGTGGCAGCTTTAACTTTGTCTAGAAACAAGGACTAAAATTCTATCCCCATTGTGAGTACGCGGAGAACATCTGTAAATCATTCCTGACTTTGTTGAAACTTGTTGCTCTTAGTTTATATATATTTTGAAATAGCTATACAACTCAAACCTGACAGTCATATCTTATGGATCGTTTTATTTTTCATATCTTTTTAGGTTCTGGGACAGGACCATCCAGATGTTGCAAAACAGTTAAACAATTTGGCTTTACTGTGTCAAAATCAAGGGAAATATGAAGAGGTAAGCCTAATTCTATCGTTATTCTCTTATTATATGCATTACAATATCTATGAACTGTCGACGTTTACTGCATCCATGAAAACAAATAAATTTTGGAGTAAATTGACACTTGTACGGTTGATATTAATATAATGTTCTTCTGATTGATAACTGTTACTTTGACTAACTGATGTTACCTCAGCTGTTAGTGTGATATATCTCGATGATCTCACCCGCTTTACTAACTAGCTTTTGTTTCTTAAAATTCTGTCATTTCACAGATATCGGCTAGATAACGGTAAGACTTGCAGCTATCGTTATAGTGTAGGGTTGCTTGTATTGGTGAGGATTTGAGGATAAAGTACTACCGGCGGTAGGGGATTTGACGACAATAAGTTATTTTGCTTGGATGACCCCCAGATTTACTGGCTCAGTAATTTTACAGGTAGCATAAAACTGGGTGTCAGGGAAACAGTTTACCGGTCATTTTGGACTGGTAATGAGTTATTCCATAGATGTAGTTTATCGGTTTAAATACTCAACTTCAACTAATGAACTGAGTTCAAACCCTGTTACATATGCCTTAGCCTTGAAAATTCAACAGTATAATAGTTTCTAGAATGATAATTGTGGCTAATATCATATCATGCATGTTTTAGGTAAGTAATTGTTAGTAAAATAACCTAAAATGCTATCATATATTGTCGTAAGTTATCAAGAAGTAGGTCATGTCTCTTTTTTAAAATGAAATATTAAGAAAATGCCTTTAACCGTGGTATATGGATATAAGAAAAGGAAAAAAATGCTTCTCATCATCTATGTCGATTCTCATACCCTTGTCAAGGCGCCACACCTAATATATGAGAGCTGTTCATACTGCCTTGTTGCCCAATCCTTAGTAGGTGAGGTAAGGTGTGAGCCCGTGATAAAATGGTTGAAAATCCACTATCTACACTAAGAAACCGTAGCTACACAATTAATATCGTATTCTCTTAACTTAAGGTTTATAGCTACAGCTATATTTCACTGTAAAACACCAAGTATTTCTAGTTTTCGTTAATCTTGAATTTAAAGATAAATATTTCCACAAATCGTATCCAAGTTGAACATGTGTGTAGATTTTTAACGTTCACTGAGTCCTTAGTGTACAACAAGCGTGATGTATATTTATGTCATTTTGATCATCTGCTTAAGAAATGTACATAGAGTTTTGTAAGGTTTACTTATCCTTTCTATTTAAAGTTGCTAATTCATAGCATTATGTGCTAAGAGTATCAATAAGTATGTTATTTTGGTGCTTAATCGCGTCTGTTAAATAAAAGACATACTTTTTCATATACCATACTCATTAGTATAATTAAAGATTTTGAGTATTCTTAACAATAACATCCAAAGAAGGGTATACTGTGCTACACACAATTGTGCCTTGTGACTCTTAACACTACATCCTTCACTCTTTGTCAAGCTAAGAGAACATCAAATAATATTTGAAAAAATTCTGTTCTGCATTTTAACAGCCTTCACTGAGCACTGCTCAAATGAATAATTTTATACTCATAATGTACAAAAGGTGAAGGTCTAAATAACATCACTGGATAATATAAACTATGCATTAAAAAGTATGGGTTGTCAAGCTGAGGGTGCTTTTTGTAAGGTCACCTTTCTGTGGGTTATGTAATAGTCATGAATTAATGTAGAAACTAAATATATATTCAGTGTACATGACTGGTTAATATGTGCACTATGGCTGGCTTTCTGTCATATTGTCAATCTGGATTTTTCTCCACATAATGGAAAGATATTTCCATACATATATACTCTATTGTTTGCTATGTATTTTGCTTGTCTGTGTATCAGCATTACTATTATCATTTATCATTACTAGGTGGAGTTATATTACCAACGTGCTTTAGAAATTTATATGCATGATCTTGGACCAGATGATCAAAATGTAGCCAAAACTAGAAATAATTTGGTAAGTGTTTTTTTTTTAACTTCCTTTGTCTTTTTCTTTCAATTCTACCCATCTTGACTATATTTTGTAGTCGACTAGACTAAGGTCACCGGTTCAAACTCTATTCCACCTCTAACGAGATTTAGGCAGCCAGATAATATATCAACAACCCTCCACAGAATAGGTCTGACCTATTTACCAACCACAGGGTAATGCAAATGTTTGTTAAGTAGCAATGATCGATTGATTGATTGACTTAAGTACATATTTTTGTAATTGATTCAGTTGGATTAAAAGCATTAGTTATTAGAGATTTGTCAGTCAAAGTAGTTTTGTAGATATTTAGTTACTTATAATAACCTATGGGGTTATTTAATGTACTTTTCTCTTTCTATCCCTTCATCATATATGCCTTTCTTTTAATCACTTGAGTATTTAGTATGTACACTTTTTAAATTTGATGTATGTATTAAATACCACCACTGCATAGTTATTGGAGTAAAAAAATGTCAATCGATTTTCAGCCTTTCCAACAATGTCTCATTGGTTCACTTATAAATTATTAAATATTTAGTCACACGAAATTTTGAAAATATTTTTTTTCCGGTTATGAGTGTTTTCTGCTATGTTTTTGTATACCGTGTACACAACATGAATTACTTGTGTGTAAGGATAGAAGTTGATACTGGGGGTGGGGTGGGTGAGTGAGTTGGCTAAGAGATCAATAATTTTTATCGTTAACATGTTAAGGCTAAAAGAGTATTGAATGAATTTGATTTCCTCAGTGTAATCGCCTACACAAAACTTCTTGTGAATAATAAGCACTAAGCATTATTCCAGAATCAAACTCTGGCAATTACTTACTTTCTCTTGTGTTCACATGTCAAACTCTATGGTTATAAGGGTTGTTTAATATACGGAAATCTGAGATGGATGTTCTCTTTGAAGCGGTTATTTTCGTTACATGACCTGGTTACCAATTCAACAAATTAGAAACGAAGTGACCGTCAAGATTTTGTAAATAGGTAAACCCCTCTGGTAAAGAAGATTATAAGTAGGAAAATATGTGAAATGTGTGCTGGGATTGTCTTGTTTATTTAAGCTAAGGATGTATCCTCTACGCAATCGCTCATTTGTAAAAGAAATGAAAGATTATCACTGATTATAATAGAAGGCTCAATGTGAAACTTGTGACGTAAAGACAACGACTAGAACCAATAATCTTCCTGGTTGGTTGTGGTAAACTGGATCATACAGCAGATGGGAGAATTTAGAAGACCTGCATACATTTGATCGACAAAAAGATACCAGAAGATCCGGATTCCGTGTTGTCGTGTCTCATAAACTCTAAGATTTAGAAGCGAAAACCTACAGGTTGGAAGAAGAGGTAGTGAAGACAAGAACCTCAGGTAAATTTAGAGAAAACATAGGTGATAAAAAATAGCCAACCACAAACAATAATCACCATCAACAGGAGAAATCTAAGGGAAGTCATCTATTTCACTTACCTAGGGGCCATTATTACATCTACAGATGGCACGGATTAGGATGTCAAAACCAGCTGAGATCGAAATCGTAAGGTAGATCATCACTACTCTGAAGTCAGTAAGGACGTTTACTGCACTTAGCACAAAGAACATAATCCGAGTTTCTAATACTAAAATGAAGTTAGTGATTCTTTGTATAGTTCAGAGACTTGGCGTGCGGGTCATCTAACGCATTTCTCACTAACTCTAAATCTTCACCAACAAGTGCCTTCAATAAATATTGAAGATCAAGTGACCAGCTAGGGACAATAAACAACAATGAACTCTTGTATAAAACCAACCAGTCTGTCCGTTTTCAACATAGAACTTTGCACACATGTGCGCCAGTTCAAGTCGCCACACTCCCTGCTTGTAGCACACGAAGAAAGAGAAGAAAGTAGGAGAAATGCATAATAGAGACAGTAAACAGAGGTGTGAGACAAAGGAATAGAAGTAACGAAGAACAATGTAGTTTCATTGGAAATCATAAGTCACAAGGAGTGGATGCATCTGAGCCAGCCATTGAGAACGATCTCTTTGAGCCATATCACCAATTGTTTCCACCCATTGGTTTTTACCGTCCCGAGGACCCCAACCAGTCAGGAAGTCTACACCTTCCTACGTGACTGAGACTAACTGTTGTAGATTTCATTGACTGGTGAGGCCATGTTTTTGTTTGACCTCCGCTAGCTCTTTTCCAGCCTGACGCTATATCAGCTAACATTGCCCATTGTCGAGGAAGGCAGTGACTAGGCATACGTAACAACTAACCAACCAGTAAATCCACTATCCAACAAATATACAGAAGGAAATAGTGATACGATTCACTTTGTGGCCTCCTAGATCCTCTGACTGCTCATGTCTTTCCATGTCATTATTCTTTCTTCTGCACATTTCTGCTTAGTATAGTTTGTCCTTTCTTTTCTCTACTTTTGTGTGATACATAGAATGTGACCACACTTATCTGCAAAGTTTTATGTTGAAATTCAGTCATTCAATCAGTCAGAAAAAGAGAATTAAGTAGACTTTGTTTTTATGTCGAGTGTTTTAGTTCCCCTAAAATTCATGAAAAACAAACAACACGCACTTCACAAGAAACATGAAAACTATAGGTAGATTGAAAAGTTTATAAGTATTCTTGTGGGGGGGGGAATTAAAAGTGCACCTTTGAAGCAATAGACACACACAGACACGTACCTTTTTCGCTGTGCAAAATCATAACGTGATCAGATGATATAATTGGAGTACGTCATTTGAATTATGAAGCTGTTGTTTAGTATCTCAATATGTGAAATTGGTATACACTGTCAGTCTTCATATTTCTTTCTTTGTTTTTAAAAACTTTTGAAGAAAAAAAATTACACACAAGAAAGTATAACTTAATGATTAAGTGGCGATACAAAGCATTGTTTAGTACTGAACGTGACAATTCATTTAGGGGGATATATGTATATATATATGACAATCATGATAATAGATTTAATATACATAGCATTCATGTGATATTGCAGTAGTTTTGTGAATCCATCATTGCACAATAAATCTCTACTATACCTAACTCACAACATATACTGTGTGAATATGGATTCATGTAGAACACGTTAGAGGAGGGTTTATTTTTAGGCATACAACGTATATATGCATAGTTATCTATCGACTGATAGCGTATTATAGTCCTATGTGATTCATAATTTCTCCTTCATTGTTATTATTAAGCTAGCTAAAGTAGATAAAGTACAAAATATAACACACTACAGAATCATTATCATTGCTTGTATACTGAAATAGTTCAATAAAAAGACTGGTGACATGTACCACCGAGAGTTTATACTTTTGGTAATTAAAACAGGTGTAATCACGGGGTTTTCTTTTCTCTCTAATTCCGAAATGTTCATTGTTTTTCTTACTTTACAATAAATACTACAATGAGTAGTGTCTTATACTAGTTTTGAACAAGCGCGTTCTATGTGTCCCAGAAAACTTCATTTAAAATTTACAAATCGCAAAGAAGTTTCACCACGGAAACCGAAATTATTGAGGGTGATTTGAACTGTTTCATCTGTCTGATATGACTCAAATAAGGTACACTGCTGATAAGATTGACGCTCAAGCTACTTCAATCTGCCTAGCACGTAGTATTGGTTGATGTGAGTGTTGTCCAACTACACTCATATTTATCGATCAACAGTATACAGCGTCATAAGACTCGGCCTTAGGGAAGTTTCATTCACTATTCCATCAAAATTAAACTGTTATGGGTTGATTGATTGGTCGGTAGGTGTATTCGTGCACTCGTTTTATTTCAAAGTATGACAACTTGGACTGATACACTTATGTGTAAATTTCTACCCTGACCTGTTAATCATTGAATATATATGTGTAAACAGTACATATATCCAATAAAAAGACTCCTCTGATGTTTCTGATCTTATCTGATACTGTATATTTTATTATTATTTATTTAAACGCAGAAAAAAATTAGTACAAATATGGCACCAAGAAAGATGCGCCACACAATTTTATTTCATTTATTGCGTGAGGGCTGAGATACTACCCGGGCGCCCAGACCGAAGCAGGTGGTTTTATTAAGGGACCACCCCGCGAGCCTTTGACATAGAGTCTAATCCGCAAGGCAGCGGAGCAGCGTCAGGAGATGCATTCCCATGGTTGCCAGTGTCCCGTATGGGTTCATACGCCATTTGATCCGATTGAATACTGGAGCCCATGTACCCCATGGTAACTACTTTGAGTCTAACCGCTATCCAAACAATCTTCCTGACATGGAGGGACCTGCAGGGACATGAGCTCCAGCCAGTTTAGCTTGTTGGGTCACTGCGGTATCCAAGCCCGACCAGCGCGACAAGGTGGCAGTTGTTGGCGGGACTGATACTGTATGATTGGTTTTCTATGAGCTTTGCTTCCAGAGTAATTAAGGTTATGCTTAATTTTGTAACACTTATTCAGTTATTCGTTGTTATCGTTAATTCTTTGAATTTTCGTAGCAACTTGTTAAGAATTGCATTTACGGCTTCACTAACGCTAGTTAGTCAAGAATGGCTATTTTACTTAGGACTTTATTTGATGTATTCTAACTGAAGAATTTCTAGAGGCTAATATTATTAATCCACTGTCTCATATCAGCCTCACTCTTCGTGTTTCGCACTATCTATCAACGTGTATATTGATCATTTTGTAGGCATCTTCGTTTCTCATGGGCCTGTAAACGTATGACTCATTCACTTTGGCATTTGATTTTCTGATAACGTCTACCTTAAGTTTAACAATTACTCCGATTACTCTTATCCGTATGACAAAGGAGGAGCGTTACAATCTATCACACACATAAGGTATCACATAAGTTGTATTTAATTGCAGTTCTGACGAATCTATACGTTTATTGCTGACGATTACTACTTAGTGTGCCCATTACTTTCTTTCAGGATAATGGATTCCGTGAACATTGAGTTTGATCTCTACATTAAACATGGACACTGAAAGTTATTTTAATTCAGGGAATTTGTCGACTACGCTTTAAAGCTACTTCGTTTACGTGACATTCTCGCTTACCTGTTATTAAATTTATATGGTACTATCATTAGGTGTAGTGGTCATTTTTTCAAATTTTACCTCAGACATGGTAGTACAATGTGCAGCATTGTCGTGGTGTGCTTTGACATAGATTATGCTGTTTTTTTCCTCATGTGCCTTCTTATTATTATCCTCACTGTTAATAAGAGTACTGAATCTAAGAACGAATCAATCAAGGACCTGTTGCTCAACAAATATGCGAAGGAATATGGAAGTGGATCGGGCACACATACTGAGGAGACAGTCGAATAACATCGCTCGCTTGAGTGGAATCCGAATAGGAAATGACTAGTGGGACGTCCGAGTGTGACATGGAGGCGATCGTGCGAGGAGAATATGGGCAGTTATGAGACTAGCTAAAGAACACCGCAGACAATAGGACAAAGTGGAAATATACTGTTGAAGCTCTATGTTTCACTCCGAACCTAAGGAAACAAAACTAATCATAAATACCCAGCCCGACAACTGCTACCTTGCCGTGGTGGTCGGGCTTGAATACCGCAGTGACCCAACAAGCTAAACTGGCTGGAGCTCATGTCCCTGCAGGTCCCTCCATGTCAGGAAGGTTGTTTGGATAGCGGTTAGACTCAAAGTAGTTACCATGGGGTACATGGGCCCCAGAATCCAATTGGACCAAATGGCGTATGAACCCATACGGGACACTGGCAACCATGGGAATGCATCTCCTGACGCTGCTCCGCTGCCTTGCGGATTAGACTCTATGTCAAAGGCTCGGGGGTGGTCCCTTAATAAAACCACCTGCTTCGGTCTGGGCGCCCGAGCAGTATCTCAGTCCTCAAACAACTTGTGTGGCGCATCTTTCTTGGTGCCATATTGTACCAATTTTTTTCTGCGTTTAAATAAATAATCATAAATGCATTATATGCTGTTGAAATTGTAACCGTTGGTGAATACTGAAGAATTATACAGAGTTGGTAATCCACTTATTCATAAAGAATCATATTTAATGTAATTTTTAGCATGAATTTACATCATTTTTTGGCTAACATTTTAATGAATTTTTCTCATCTACTTCTTTTTTCAATGATTCTAATAATAATATCTATAGGCTTCAGCCTATCTGAAACAAGGCAAGTATGCTGAAGCAGAGAAATTGTACAAAGAAGTTCTGACACGAGCTCATGAAAAAGAATTTGGAAAGGTTACTGATACTAATAAACCGATTTGGATGATTGCAGAAGACTGTCAGTCAGCTCAAGCATCAAATAATAAAGATATAAAGGAATCTGTTCAATCGATGTGGGCACGTATTTCTCGTTCAGAAAAGTAAGATAGTAATGTTTTTAGAAAAAAATCTAATAGTACAATTTATTCTTTTTCTTTATGTGTTATGTGTTTGTGCACTTAAATAATCTTCACTGATAAGTTCTCTATTCTTGGTTTCATCTACCTGATACCTGTCTTCTAGTCAAGAACGACTATGTGTTTTTTTCATTTTAGCTCGCTTAATCATACTACCATCAGTAGTTGCTTATTATAATAATGGCTGTCAAATTGTGTGACTATACTTTCCGATTGTATTAATCGAAATGTTTAGAACACTGGTTTTGACTGATATAAGAATGGAATTTCAGCACTCTGTCTCCACCTAACTATACTATTTTTTGTAGTAGTATAGTTCTGTCCAGTCCTATTTTATGATCCTGCACCCATTGCAATTACTGAGTCTTTCCTTTAAATTAACCATCCTTTTGGCATCCTGCCTTTCGATAAGCTGACCTTGATCTGCTAAACTGACCTCACAGTCATTGCTATCTATCTGTCTGTTTTCGACGTAAAACTTTGCCACACTCCATGTAGCACACAAAGAAAGAGAAGAAAGTAGAAGAAATGCACAATAGAGACAGTAAACAGAGGTGTGAGACAAAGGAATAGAAGTAACGAAGAACAATGTAGTTTCATTGGAAATCATAAGTCACAAGGAGTGGATGCATCTGAGCCAGCCATTGAGAACGATCTCTTTGAGCCATATCACCAATTGTTTCCACCCATTGGTTTTTACCGTCCCGAGGACCCCAACCAGTCAGGAAGTCTACACTTTCCTACGTGACTGAGACTAACTGTTGTAGATTTCATTGACTGGTGAGGCCATGTTTTTGTTTGACCTCCGCTAGCTCTTTTCCAGCCTGACGCTATATCAGCTAACATTGCCCATTGTCGAGGAAGGCAGTGACTAGGCATACGTAACATATGTCCTAACCATCTCAGTCTTTGTAACTTCACAACCTCGTCGATTGATTTCTCCTGCCTACAGTCATTCCAAGTTGCATATGGTGGCTAAATGATTTTGTAAGACAAACTCTGTCGACTAAAGTACCCTGTAGGCCCAGTCAGACAAAACAATTCAGTCTAAAAAAGTATACCTTCCAATGACCCATTCCGATAAGAACGGGATCAGTTAGGTTACTGGAATTTAAGAATTCAACCTAAGCGTAGAATGTGAGCACCTTGATATGATCATGAACAATCAATCCTATTGCAAAGCGCTTCAGTCTATGTAGTAGTATTTTCATCCCATTCTTTCTTACCATTAACCTCTTTAGTAGTAGTTTTGAAATGTTCTCAAAACGTGTGTTTTATGCATTCAATCAACTAGCTTATCAGTAAATATTAGCTTTATTTTTCTAAGGAAGGTAGCTGTACTGAAAAATAAAACTAATGAGTAAGTATTAACACATAACATATACAAGATAATTAATAGTGGGATAGATTCGACGATAGGGGAGTTGCGATGTAAAAGCTTTTCATTTTTACCTACAAAACAATCGACTGAAAATGTATTTATTTAGAAGGAAGAAAAGTAAGACCTGGCAGTGAAATAGGTGATAATATTAACGATATAACAATTTCGGGCTGGTATTAACAGATTTGAATGCAATAATAATACATCATGTAGGAAAAAATTCTGCCAATTAAATCGAGCAGTAGTGACAAGCTGTCTCTCATCGCTTCTTGCTAAGAATGTGTTCCAACTTTACTTCTACTGTTTACTGCAGAGATGATGGCTTAAAGGTTGATTTATTTAGTAAATCAAAAGCTTGGTGCATTATGAGGGCTGCGATACTGCTGCCGATGCTCAAACTGAGTCAGGTAGTTGTCTTAAAAAGCTACACTCCGTGTCTTAGATTTAAAGTCTCATCCACAAGACAGTGGAGCAGCTTCAAGAGCTACATTGCCATGGTTTCCGGTGACCAAATCAAGTTCATACTCTATTCGATTCGTTCGGATTCTGGAGCACATGTATAACACCATAGGTTTGCAGTCAGGGCTTTCCAGCTCTTCTATGTAAACTTGCCTGTCCACCAGCCTGGTTTTATGCTCGAGACGTTCGCCTTCTCCCTTTCATTTTTGTGAGGAACATCCTCGCAGTGTGAAGCCAGTGAATAGGACTTCTTTGATAGTGTCTATGAGAAAACGTTTCGAGTGAAAGATCGAAGTTTATCCACACTCGAGCGTGTACCAAGGTAGTCTGTGACCAAGGGAATAAGTTACAATTTAAACAGCATTCATTTTTCATGATATTTTTTAGCGCTTTTTTCAGCTCTTCACTTGTCCTAAAATCTTTCTCTTCCCAACTGTTGGTTTACTGACTAACATAGTGTTACTGTCGTAAAGTGGCTCAGATGCATCCACTCCTTGTGACTTATGATCTCCAATGAAGCTGTTTTGTTTTTCTTTATTACTCCTTTGTCTCACACCTCTGCTCACTGTTTCTATTATGCTTTTCTTGTACTTTCTTCTCTTGCTTCGCGTGCTACACGGAGTGTGGCAACTTGAACTTCCGCACATTTGTACAAAGTTCTATGTCGAAAACAGACAGACAGACTGTCGAAAAGCGGGAGTAACAAGCAATAAGACAGTTTTTATTTTATTTTATTTTACAGAAGACTTTCCCAGTCATTCATTTACTTTCAAATTGAGTTCTCCTTTTTTTTCTTCTGGCTAGTGAAAGCCAAGAATTTAATCGATCTATTCATTTTTTTAGTATTGATTAGTTAGCTAGTTATCTATCCAACGCATGTGCATACTTCTTCCCCTGTATATTCATAGTTATTTGCAAAGCAATTATATGTTAGTTAGTTAGTTTAATCTAATTGTAAAGAATAATTTTGAGTAAATTTGCTTTTACTTTCTCTGCGGAGAAAAGTTTGCTAAACAACCTCTGCCATGTTAATTTAACACATACACATGTAACTAAACTATTCGTCTACGCCTTCTCCACACTTTTAATGCCTCCAACTTGATTTTCTGTTTTTCTCTTCAGTAAATTATATCCTTGAGTATACAAGGTTTATAATATGAAATACATATATGTATACCTATTTTGTCAATTGTTATTATTATTATTATTACTAGTGTTATTGTTATTGATTTATAGGTTTTTCTTTTTTACATAAAGAAAATCGAAGAGAATGTATTATTACTCTGTGTGTTGTTGTGTATGCCTTTGTGTTTTATGTTAGGTTCTTTCTGTCAGTATATATTCTCTTCTGTTTTTCTTCTTCTTTTGTATTCTTCCATAAATAGGTGTGTGTCGTTTAACTATGCCAGTTACCATGTGCTTACATTTGTACAAATTGATTATTTCACATTTTACTCTAATCATATAATAATCAAAGAAGATAGAATAGATATAATGCGCTTTATTCAATATATCTGTTTCGTATCATTGTTTGAAATGCTTGTCGCATTTGTGACGAATAAATTTGACCGAAAAAAAGAGAACAAACACGTCGTCAGTTAAATTAACCTTTTATTGTTTTAGCCCTAGCCCCAAGCAGTCTGTCGACCAAAGGGCGTATGTACTGCTCACCAGTCCGCTCCGTCCTCCTTTACGGTTATGAGACTTGGCCATTGAGAGCAGAAGACATGAAAAGATTAGCTGTCTTTGATCATAGGTGCCTGCGCTCTATCTCCCGTGTGAAGTGGCATAATAAGGTGAGCAATATTGAGGTGGTTAGGCATCGGTCGAGTTCTAGGTAAGGAGGGGAAATCAATCGACGACGCTGTGAAATTGTATCGACTGAGATGGTCAGGACATGTGTTACTCATGCACGCCTAGTCATCGTCTTCCTCGACAGTGAGCAATGTTAGTTGACATAGGATAGGTCAGGCTGGAAAAGAACTAGTGGCGCTCAAACCAAAACATGGCCTCACCAGTCAATGAAATCTACAACAGTTAGTCTCAGTCACGTAGGAAGGTGTAGACTTCCTGACTGGTTGGGGTCCTTGGGACGGTAAAATCCAATGGTTGGAAACAATTGGTGATATGGCTCAAAGAGATCGTTCTCAATGGCTGGCTCAGATGCATCCACTCCTTGTGACTTATGATTTCCAATGAAACTACATTGTTCTTCGTTACTTCTATTCCTTTGTCTCACACCTCTGTTTACTGTCTCTATTATGCATTTCTTCTTTTTCTCTGTGTGCTACAAGCAGGGAGTGTGGCGACTTGAACTGGCGCACATATGTGCAAAGTTCTATGTCGAAAACAGACAGACAGAAGCAGTCTAGTGGATAAGGCTCTTTAGCATTTGAAATGATTGATGCAGGGTTCGAATCCTAGTGGAAACAACATCTTCCACTGGGAAATGCAAGTATATCCAGATGACAAGATCCGAACAGGACGAAACACTCATATGTAGCTTTTTATCGGGAGAGAAGTCATGAAATCTTCATATTAGATAGTAATGTTTTATACATACTACTAAGTTGAATACAGTAGTTGATTGTAGTTTTTTCTTTTTCTATAGAAATGTTTCTTTCTGAGTGTTATTCTATTGCTATTCTATTTTGGTTACTCAGAGAAGAAAGGCTTATTCGTCGTCTCTAGCACAGCATAACTACACCATATCTATTTCGATAATATAGCATACTCTACCCTAGCATAAATGACCGTCACACAAGCATCGGCAATGTTTGTTGTAAAAAATTTGATATAAAGCTCTTTATCCCATTGTCGAGATATTCATTGATGTGAGGGTTCGGATATATAGTAACTAATCTGTTGCTTGTGTCAGTCAAGTAGACACTAAATAGTAGAAAAGTGTTTTTCAGGTGAATGAATCTAATGTTAAGCAAGGTTAGATGTTTTGTAAATTCATTTTAAGTATTAGCTTTGTGGGGATTTCGTATTTGATTGCACGGAGGATTTCATCATGAGCTGACATTGGTTAGAGAACCATTGGAAAACCAGCTGTGAGTACTGGACAGCTGTTTCGTCCTAGTTTGGGACTTTTCAGCAGTACGCACCCACCGGGGTCAGCTCACGATGAAATCCTCCATGAAATTCATTTTAGTCTGTCGTATACACAATGCACTCGTTAACCAAGTTTATACGGATTTATACGTGAGTATACTTTTTCATTGACTGATTGACTCAGTTCTCAACATAGAACTCCGCACAGAAGTGGAGCAGTTCAAGTTGCTACACTCTATGTAGTAGTACACTAAGGTGGAGAAAAAAATTCTCAAGGTTCATATTAGGGCATGAATGTACGGTCAACAGAGTAGTAAGGTGGAATGACATATTTTGATACAAATTCATTTAAGTATCTATTGATGATATCATTGAATTCGGTTGTTGTCCATCACATGCCTTATATTACTGAGGGTTTGAGTTTTATTCATTTATCAATTATGAACTAATATACACTCGATGGACTTTAGGTTTATGTTACTGTACAAAATATCTTTTTTATTCATTTTGGATAAACTATTGAATGCTGTATCTGTATTTACAAACAATAGTGCAATTTGTTTGGGTTTTTAGATTTCTCTTAACTAGGGATAATTTCTCACTTTTTTCCTCTCTCTCTCTCCTTTAGTCCAACTGTGGCTACAACACTGCGAAATTTGGCTGCTCTTTATCGTAGGCAAGGGAAATTTGAAGCTGCTAACATAGTGGAAGAATGCGCTGTCCAGTGCAAAGGAGCGTCTGTTGTTAATCCTGTAAGTTCCTTGTTCACTATTCCATATATATACTCAGTCTCTTGAGCGTTATTCAAATTTCAAATCAACTATTGGTTTTTGCATTTCAAATTAATATTTATTGAGTTTCGTTGTACCTTTTATAAAATGATTTTGCTACCATACTTTCCAAAAGCTAGGATAGGAGGTAGGTAATCGAAATCTCAGGTTTGTGTAATTTAATTAATTAATTAATTAATCCTCTAACCAACCAAAGAAACTACCTACAAACCAATATACTTGAAAATTAATTTAATTGTACCAATGATATCCTTAGTAAAATTAAACAAATAGCTCTTGTAATCATAAGAACCACACGCTTAATCATTCAGTGGTCGCCGTACACTCGACTAGTATGTAAAAACCAGCGTTAAAATGATTTCCTTAGTGACTGTCACTCATATCTCTTAATCATTTACTAGACATCAATTGAAGACAGTGTACATTCAGGCAGTGTTATAGTATTGAGCGAAATTGGGCGAAGTTAAACTTTCGACACCACTAACTACCAATCAGCGAATTATCCAATGAGATTCACGAACGATGTCGAATTATCCAATGAGGTTCACGAACGCAATTCAATGTTGTATAGCGCCTGATTCATTTCTAATGCGTGACCTTACAAGGCTGTTGTTGCAATTCGAGGAGGTTAGTGTTTCCCAGTATTTCCTAGATTTCAGTTGCTCCGGAAAAAACGAATTTGATTGTGTGGTGGTATCATGACTTTAAAAAGCTATACCAAATCAACTGATGGGTTTGTTCATCGTTGTGCTATATGTTTGAAGCCTACTAACACTAGAGAGGGTATGCTGATAATTTAAATATTTCGTAGGAACTTTTTTCGCTAGGTCGCTTCTCTCCCTAAGGATAGCAGATAGAAAAGCAACTACTCTTATACCTATTATTACCAGAATTGTTAAGCGGGGGTCAATTATACACACCGACGAGTTGAAAGGTTACAATTCACTGTCATTTCTGGGATATATTCATCGTAGAGACAACTATTCAAGTGATTTTGTGGATCCCGTTACGAGGACACATACAAATTCTAATGAAGGATTTTGGGGCAGGTTGGAAAATAGGATAAGGGCTATAAATGTATCTCAAAAGGATCTCATTTATAGTCATTTGGATGAATATATGTACAGGATATGGTGTAACTTCTCCATTGACAGTCCCATGCTAAACTGGGAGATTTTTCTCTCACATGTTCGAGAAAGATATCCCGTGTAACCTTTTTTATTATCTATTTTATGCTTTTTTTCTACAAATATACATTTCCATTCATCATATGTGCCTCTTTAATGTGATTGGTCCGTTCGAGGTCGTTTGCTGATTGGTTGTTAGTGGTGTCGAAAGTTTAACTTTGCCCGAAATTGCATACTATCGCCCATAAGTGTGCGTGATACTTTCATAGACATTGTGCGTGTATATATATATATATATATATATATATATATATATATATATATATGCATGGTAAGATTTCGTATCCGATTGAGTTGAAAGGATTCACCAAAACAACAGTTTTCTTATGGATGGATACAGTTGCATATTTAGGCTCATACAGTTTCTTTGATCTGTTCAGTGTTCTTTTCTGTAGTCTGTAATTATTCAGGGACTTGATTAGTTTCAGGATTTTATCATGAGCTGATATCGGTTAGAAAACCATTGGAAAATCTGGGAGTACTGGACAGCTGTTTCGTCCAGTCTTGGGACTCTTCATCAGTACGCACCCACTGGGGCTTGAATACAGGACTTTCTGGTTAAAAGGCGAGCTCGTAGGCTATTAAGTCACTGGGACTCGAGCCAACGGGCGTCCATAAATTCACGATACGACTCGACCATGAGCGAATATCACCGACGAGTATTGATCCTCACACCCAACTTCCTGTACCCCCACCTATCACGACTTCCCACTAGAACCCAGGTAACTGACTACCTGAGTAGGGTTAGTCACTATTCAAATTTTCATTCAAATGTTGGTTTGCAGTGATTTGACTGCTTTCAGGATTTCATCATAAACTGACATCATCATTATGATTTTATAATTATAATTCTCCCTGATTTAATTTCGATCCTCGCTTTGCCTTACTCTCTGGTATTCTATTAATTAACTTTTCTGTCTTCCTTTTTCACATATTGTTTATAAAAAAAGAAATCAATTACATTATTCCATATTATAAAAATACTAGGATGATGTGGTACACCTTGGAAATAGATTGCAGAAGTATGTACTAGAGTATGTTGTAGAACGTAATACCACACTTCTTACATATCAATGGGCTAAGGGAAGTGTAAACCTCTATGACTCATGGTGTAACAACAGAAGACAAGGGCCAGGCAACAGATCGTTTTATTATGAAAATCAACACGTATTTATACATCTTTCAACTACATTATTATAGACAAGCGCAGTCATCTGATTGGTTGTTTAGGTAGACAAACGCAGGCTTCTGATTGGTTGTTTCGGGATTCCTTGACAAATAGAGTTCTCTCTGCGAATCATATTTTGCCACGTTAACTTTGCTGTGATTGGTTGTTGACTCAGGCTTGTTCATATTTTCTCACGGCCCATATTAGTGACCTAGACCTTAACGTAGATTAGTGCCAACCAATCGGCTAGCAGCCTGCTCTCACCACAATGGGTTAATGCATTAACATGTCATTTATATGATAATTCAAGTGTTAATTTGATTGTTCAAACTTAGTATGTCATAATATTTTTCGTTACAACTTACAAAAATTTGCCGTATAACTGTGAATCTAGTCGCACCCCCCATATCTGAAGGATTAATTTGTTTATAGGGATAGAATAAGCAAGTGACATAGTCCTTTCGCGTCGGTACCACATCGGTAGGATGCTCACCGACCACCCTTGTTATTCAGGATTAGATCCCCGGTCGATATACTCCTTTACCTCGCTAAGTCAGTAATATGACTAGTAAGGAGGTAAGGTTGGGCATGAAGCTAGAAACCCCATCCTGTAAAAATAAAATACCACTGCTACCGAAACTTCAAAGCTCAAGTTTGAAGCCCTAAGTGTTCCACTGGGAATGTAAAGGAATAAAATAGTACTTTCAGGTGCAGTCTTCTATACGCAGTGAGCAAAAGAAAATCTGGGTGTATTTCTCATGCGATTCTTCCCTGTTAGATAATGCTGTAGGTACAGTCTGCACTGCATAGTTTGAGCTTAGTGAGCGTATTGACCACTTCGTTTGTGTAGGAATTTTCGTTAGCCTTAATGGACTGAAAAAGGAAATCTCAGCATAGATACTGAAGGCTTATTTGGCATTCTCACACTGTTATCGTTGGCATAAAGTGATATCCCACCATAGATCGAAGGAAGTATAAACTGTTCAGCAGTTCAGCGCGTCCTTTTTACGGATGTTAAAATATGGTTTCTGACCATAGAATCTGGCATGTTAGGTTACGCAATATAGTTAGTAAATAAGGTCTGTAATTTTCATCGATTGAGTTACCCAGGTCATAGGTTACACATGCTAAGCAACAGCCTCCCTCAACTGGTAATGTCAGCCGAAATTAGATTATTCTGGACAGAGGTTGGAGGTAGTCAGACGAAAATATGGGGACAACCCATAAATTCTTTGATTGTTGATTTAAGCCACACACAGGTAGGTGCTGACTGTATGGTTAGAGTCCCTGAGAAGGTGAAAGACTGTTGGTGACACGACCTGAAAATCGTTCTCAACCGTGTGGGTGTCATTACTCTTTTGGATTTTCCAGATTCTGATTATCCTCACTAATCCATCGTCCAATTATTCTTTCTCCTGTACACCCACTGTAGTTTCACTACATTTTTCACTCTACTTTTATTTGCGCTTTTCTGAACTTTCTAAACTTGAATTGATGCATTTTTGTGCAGATTTCGGTTCAATTTACTCCTGGCTACGGTCTTTAAATGAATGGATTTATATTCATTATTTGTACTTGTCTTTTGAAGTCAATCTGTTCACGCCATCTTCATTATTTTTGTATGTCGCTGTAATTTGATGTGATAGTTTAAGTCTATTGTAGTTTACTACTAGGTATCTATTTTTGTAAATTGATACATTCATTCTATTGTTGTGTTGTATGACTGTAGTCAACCGCTTTTTACAGAGACAAGTTGTTATGGTGAAGAAATTTAATGTTCACTTGTGTTCTCTAATTATATTGTTACATTCAAGAAGTAAACATAAGTATGGAGTAGTATCATACTAATTTCTGCTCAATACATATAGCTGTCGTTGAATTAAAACAGGCAGTTAGCTTCGTTGATACGATTTTGCAGTAATAGCGAAACAAATTGGAAAGATTTAGATCTTATTTTTGTTTAAAACTTTTAGTATCAAAAAATGGTAGACTCCTGTTTCGTCCTAAACTAGAATCATGTTGTTCCTTCACATTACCTAATTTCTATCCCTTCAACTAATAGCATTTTGTTAACTACACCAAGCGCGTATTTCACCGATGAAAGTAAAATGTGATTTTTCAAATTATTATTATTGTCTCCTTTAGTTCCTAGAGGAACATAGGGCTCCAGCCTCACGTCTCCACTGCGTTTGGTTCTCAGTCAACGTTTTCATTTTGCTTCTCATCTGCCACATGCTTTCATCTCCCCTTCTCATGACCTCCATGTCACCCTCAGACGACCAACTCGCGGATTCCCATTCGGTTTCCACTTGAGTGATAACCGTGTGATGTCAATTGATGGTTTTTTCAGAGTATGACCAATCTAACTCCCTTTCTTCCTGCTTATTTGTTGCACAGGTGGTCTCTGATTGGCTCGCTCCGACAGATCGCTGTCGCTGATGTTATATGGCCGGCCATCTAATCTTGAGTATTGAGCGAAGACAGCTGTTGATGAAGGTCTGTAGTTTGTTCGAAGTGCCCTTCGTGACGCGCTAAGTCTCTGATCCGTATAGTAAGTAGCACTGACCTCACATTGGAGTTAAAAATCCGGATCTTATTTTTGATGCTGAGTGCTGTTGACCTCCACACACGCTTGGGAGTAACGAAGGCTTGCCTTGCTTTAACGATCCTTGCTTTGATATCCTCATCAGTTCTGTCCGCCTGTAGTTGAGACAATGCTTCCCAGGTAGGTAAAGGAGGTTGTTTCTTTCAGACTTTTCCCATTTATGCTGATTGTTGTCTGTTGCTGTTGGCCCGAGAATCTTTATCACCTCTGTTTTCTCTATATTCACCTGGAGTCCTAGTTTTGATGCTTCTTTTGTTAACTTGTTGCTTTTCACTTGCATATTTTCCAGTTTGTGGGAAATCGAACATATATCATCGGCGAAGTCCAGATCCTCCAAGTTTCTTGTGTGGGTTCAATTTATGCCTGTTTCCTCGTTACCCACTGTTTGTCGCATTATGCAGTCTACCACAATCAGGGAAATCATTGGAGATAATAGACAGACAGCCTTGTTTTACTCCTGTCTTCACTTTGAAGGATTCCATGAGTTTCCCATTGTGGATTACTTGGCATGCAGCATTGTCGTACAATTGTTGGATGAGATGTATAACTGTTGGCGGCACACCGTAGTAGCGAAGTAGTTTCCAAATCACCTCTCGATCGACGCTGTCTGCTGAAGACCTTTTCAAAGTCGATGAAGTTAAAGTAGAGAGGTGACTGTCATTCCAAGCACTGTTCAGTGATGATACATAGTGTTGCGATTTCATCGACTCATGACTTGTTTCTCTTGAATCCAGCCTTTTCCGGTCGAAGGTTTTTCATCCAGGGCGTGTTTGATTCTCTCCGGGATGATGTGGCCTAGTAATTTGCTTAGGTTAGACAGGAGCATAATTCCGCGCCAGTTCTTGCATTGACTTAAGTCTTGTTTCAAACTAGAATAGTTTGTTTAATATTGTCATATAGTACAGATTAAACGAGGTTTTGAAGACAACTTATTGCTTAGAAATATATTACAGGACTCACATTTAGTTTATGTAGCTCACTTGTTGTTTATTCCTCATTTCTAACTAATGTTAGTGACTAATGACTGACTAATTGATTAATGAATCAACGTTCCATTTGTCACACCACATTTAAAAAAGTACACGCATAAATGAAGAGAAAATAAGTTTATTGATGTTATGGTGAAAAGCTGCGTGTTGCTGAGAGAACAACTTAATGAAAATAAATTGAAGATCAAGCTTTTTTTTCTTTCCTTCACGTTCCCCAGTGGAACATAGGACCTCAAGCTAGTGGCTTGAAGTTTCTGTAGCAGTGTTTATTTTACAACATGGCGTTGCTAGCCTCATGTCCAATCTTTCCTCTTTACCAGTCTCACTGCTGACTTAGCGAGGTAAAGGAGTGGGTAGGCTGAGGATCGAACCTCGGACCATGTGCATGGTCGGCGAGCGTCCTAACCGCTATGCCACCAACGCAAAGATGAAGCATCAAGAAGACGTAATTTGTCTGAACCGTGTAATGTATTTGCGCAACATATTTCGAACAATCTGATCACACACAGACTTTTCATACGAATAAGCATGAAATTAATAAAGAGGTAACATGTGAGAAAATATACTTAGGTCAAGTTAAGTATTTACCAATTTGAATGTACGTGTGGACGCATACATAGGGAGGACTCATCGATCTCTGCAAGTAAGGGCTTCAGAGCATATTCCTAAATGGCTCCAAAAACAAATGGAATCTTCAGAACCCATTAACGGTGAGAACAGGAGACCTAGCTCTTCTATCGCGAAACATATTATAGAAACAGGACATAAAATTGACGTTAACGGATCTTTTAAACCTATCTGTCAAACGTGTTTGGAGCGTATCCTAAAGTTTGTGGAAGCCCTAGCAATTAGAAACTTTAAACCACCTTTATGAGTTCAAAAACAATTCGTCATCAAAATAAACCTTCCTTGGTAAACTTTGTTTCGATACCAGTCAGGATAGATGTACTGTTACCTCTCCTATTTGGCTTAGTGATCTTCACTGTTATTTTGACCTTGAATATGTCCTCTTAACTTGACCTAAGTCTATTTTCTCACCTCTTAACTCTTTATTAACTTCACATATATTCCTATGAAAGTCCGTGTGTGATCAGATTGTTCGAAATGTGTTGCGCAAATACATTACACTATTCAGACAAATTACGTCTTCTTATTGCTTTATCTAAATTGAAGATGTTTAGCACTTAGCGTATTAGAAAAAGGATGTTGCATTATTCCTATTGAGTGTTAATTCAACGGTTGAATTCATCTTTCTCGTACGAATTTAACTCTGTTGCAACCTAATCATAATAATATTGTATTTCAAAGTTTAAGCGTCAAAAGCTAATGTGTTGCCAGACAGTTAGCAATCGTATCAATAAGTGCAAAAGTATACTTCCGTATTTTTTATGACAATGAAATCTCAATTTCTTATAATTTGTATGAATTATCTTGTTGGTATTATTAACATTCTAATTGCTTAGATGTAACAGACGTTATCTACGCTTTTACCTTTCTGAATCTATGTTTATCCAATCATTTCTCAGGGATAGAGAGATAGTCTGGATGTAGTATTGTTGAATTTTATCAGCATGCCTAGTCTACTGATTAATTATTACCGTATTTGTTTATCATTCTTCACTTAGGAATCTTTAGTCCATCAATAGAAAAATTATGATTTTTATTGGAAGATAGATGCCTGTTATAAGAATCGACACTTTCAGCTAAATTTCTAGCAGTCTATTATAAGCATGATTAATTAGACATCGTTAATTGTTCTTACTGAGTGACCGACGGCAGAATATTATATTATTGTATCCTTTAGTTCCTAGAGGAACATAGGGCTTCAGCTGCGCACCTCCATTGACTTCGGTTTTCTGACAACTTTTTCACCCTGCTCCAGGTCTGCCCACATGCTTTCATCTCCTCTTCACATGACCTCCTCCAAGTCACCCTTGGACGACCAACTCGCCGCCTCCCTTTCGGGTTCCACTCGAGGGCTTGTCTAGTGATGTCACTTGATGGTTTCCTCAGCGTATGGCCAATCCATCTCCATTTCTTTCTGCCTATTTGTTTCACAATCGGTTCCTGATTGGTTCGCTCCCAGAGATCCCTGTTGCTGATCTTTTCTGGCCATCTGATCTTGAGTATTGAGCGGAGACAGTTGTTAATGAAGGTTTGAAGTTTGTTTGAGATGCTCTTTATGACTCGCCAAGTCTCTGATCCGTATAGTAGCACTGACTTCACATTGGAGTTGAAAATCCGGATCTTATTTTTGATGCTGATTGCTGTTGACCTCCACACAGATTTGAGAGTAATGAAAGCTTGTCTTGCTTTTCCGATTCTGGCTTTGATGTCCTCGTCAGTTCCGCCTGTAGTTGAGACGATGCTTCCCAGGTAGGTGAAGGAGGTTGTTTCTTTCAGGTTCTTCCCATTTATGCTTATTGTGGTCTGTTGTTGCTGTTGATGTTGGCAAGGAATCTTCATCATCTCTGTTTTATCTATGTTCACGTGAAGTCCTATCTTTGATGCTTCTTCTGCCAACTTGTTACTTTTCATTTGCATATCTTCCAGTTTATGGGAAATCAGACATATATCATCGGCGAAATCCAGATCCTCCAAGTCTTTTGTGTCAGTCCATTTTATGCCTGTTCCCTCGTTGGTTGCCGTTGTCTGTCGCATTATCCAATCAATTGCAATCAGGAAGATCATTGGTGATAGTAGACAGCCTTGCCTCACTCCCGTCCTCACTTCGAAGGCTTCCGTAAGTTTCCCGTTGTGGATTACTTGGCATGCAGCATTGTCGTATAACTGTTGGATGAGGTGTATAATTGTCGATGGGACCCCGTAGTAGCGAAGTAGTTTCCAAATGACCTCTCGATCGACGCTGTCGAAGGCCTTTTCAAAGTCGATGAAGTTGAGATAGAGAGGTGACTGCCATTCCAAGCTTTGTTCAATGATGATCCGTAGAGTGGCGATTTGATCAATACATGATTTGTTTCTCCTGAATCCAGCCTGTTCCGGACGAAGTTTTTCATCTAGGGCTTGTTTGATTCTCTCCAGGATGATGCGACTTAGTATCTTGCTTGGAATGGACAGAAGCATAATTCCACGCCAGTTTTTACATTGACTTAAGTCTCCTTTCTTTGGAAGTTTGAATAAGTAACTGTTCTTCCAATCCTCGGGTACTTTGCCCTCTTTCCACACCTTCTCCAGTAGTGGTGTCATCAAGTCCGCTGTTGTCTCTGGGTCTATTTTCAAAGCCTCTGCTGGGATTCCATCTGGTCCCGGTGTTTTCCCAGTTTTAAGCATCTTGATTGCATTCAGGACTTCTGATTTCGTCGGGGGGTCAGTGTTCACTGGTAGTTCTGCTTCCGTTGTTGGTATTGCTGGACGTGTTGTAGGTGGCGGACGATTTAGAAGTCTTTTGAAGTGTTCAACCCAGTGCTTTCTCTGTTCCACCTCTTTGGTGATTGACTTTCCATTGTCGTCCTTTATTGGCTTAATCTGTGTCGAACGTTTGCCCGAAAGGTTCCTAGTTGTTTGGTAGAGTGTGGCGAGGTCTCCTTTGCCTGCAGCTTGTTCTGCTTCGTTTGCCATGGTTTCATAATATTTTCTTTTGTCTTCCCTGGCACTTTTCTTCACTCTTTTGTTCAGTGTATTGTAGCTTGCATTCAGCTCCTGTTTTTGTTGCTCGTCCGTGCACTGGATAATCTTTTGCTTCACTGTCCTTCTCTCTTCTATTAGTTTCCAAGTGTCCGTAGTGAGCCACTGTTTGTCCTGTCTCTTTTTTCTGCCTAGAATTTCTATGCAGGTTTGGCTCCACACCGTTTTCAAGTTGTTCCAGTGCTTTTCAACGCCGACCTCTTCGCTAGTGTTGATTTGTGTCTCGGCTTTGTCCTTTATGCTTGCAATGAAGATGTCCTTTGTAGCCTGGTCCTTCAGCTTTTGAGTGTTGAACTTGGCTTGTGGTCTATCTGCAGCTCCTGATTCCCTGAAAGCTTTTAATTTGATTTGGATTGTCCCTTGTACGAGATAGTGGTCTGAGCCAACGTCTGCTCCTCTTCTTGCTTTTGTGTCCAGTAGGCTGCGCCTCCACTTCCTTGAGATTGAGATGAAGTCGATTTGGTTTTTGGTTTGCCCGTCTGGTGACACCCATGTAGCCTTGTGGATATCTTTGTGCTTGTATACACTGCCACCAATCACCAGTTCGTTGAAGGCGCAGAAGTCGGCGAAGAGTTCTCCGTTTTCATTCATTTCTCCTAGAGCTTCTCTACCCATGATGAGTTCCCTTCCCGTATTGTCTGGTCCCAGTTTGGCGTTCATGTCTCCCATTAGTATTTTCATGTCGCCAGCTGGAGTATTGTCCATTGTTGCCTGTAGTTGCCTGTAGAATTCTTCTTTCTTCTCGAGGTCTGCGTTGTTTGTGGGTGCATAACATTGTATGATTGACACTTTCCTTCCTTTGGAGTTGAACCTGGCGGTCATTATCCTGGACGAAATCGCCTCCCATTGTATCAGGGCTTTCGTTGCCGTTGGTGACATCATGATAGCCACGCCCTCGGTGTGCGTGTGGTTATCTTCTGGGTGACCGGAGTAGATCACTGACTCACCTGTTGACAATTTGGTGAGTCCACTCCCATTCCATCTGCTCTCACATATTCCCAGCACTTGTATTCCGTATCTTTTCATCTCGTTGGCGATCTGGGCAGCTTTTCCAGTCTCGTACATAGTTCGGACGTTCCATGTTCCTACACAGACTTTTTCTTTTGGTGCAAGGAGGTTCAACATACTGAAGTTTCTGTAGCAATTTTTGTTTACAGGGTGGGGTTGCTAGCCTCACGCCTGAGAAAAAAAAATTTTTCTCAGGCGTGAGACGGCAGAATAAGGTAGTCAAAATATACTCAGTTGTAGATAGTTGTCTGTTTCATCTAGTGTGTGTGTGTATGCGTGCGTTCTACATATTTAAAATGAAATCATAGTATCGGTTTACTCCTCAGTTTGGCTATACCACTGAGGTTATTTTTCCTATCAGAATAAAGCATGTGTCTCAAACTGAAAAATGACAGCATTCCATGAAGCCATTGACTATTAGTCTGAGCCACATATGTATGCAAACTGTTGATTGTGCGTCGGTAGCACAGTGGTTAGGATCCTCACCGACCATGCACATGGTCAGGGGTTCGATCCCCTGCCGATGCACACCTGATATCTATGATTGGCCTGCAAAATTTGGACTACCGATATCACATGCTGAAAATTCAATATCTGTACCAAAAAATATGGTGTGGAATAAAGCTATAATCAAAAATAAATAAATAAACAATTGTCTGGTTGGAATACTCAGAGTTCTCAATAAAAATGTATCTGGAGAATCTTTCTGATGTGTCTATAACTTTTGTGCATTTAACATGGAATCCAGTCAGTTCTTGTCATCTTGTAGGTTATAAAAATGTTCACTAATTTTTTGCCTGTGATAACTCTCTCCTTGATAAAACATATACTATCCCTCTGAGTTGTACTCTTTCTCTTGCTATCATTGTTATTATTATTATTATATACTCTGCTTGATGAATTCTCTTCGTGTTTTGTTGAGAAAAGAGTTTAACACACTGTTAAGTAAATAGGTTTGTGTAATTTTCCTGCGTAATAATACAAATCTGTCTGTTTATATTGAATTCAGTATATTATTATTCCCTTGGGTTCCTAGTGGAACATAGGGCTTTAACTGCACGTCTCCACTTGCTTCTGTCTTCCTTCTGCTGTACTTTTCACCTGCATCCACGTTAGTCCATACTCTTTCAACTCTTCTTCGTACGATCTCCTCCATGTCACCCTCGCACTGACGTCTCACTCGCCACTTCCCTTTCGAGTTCCACTCGACCAATGGCCTGACGCGCGCGTGATGTCACCCAGCGGCCTCCTCAGCGAGCGAGTGTCCAATCCATCTTCACTTTCTCCTGCATATTTGTTGGTTGGCGATTGATTCTTGTTTTGTTTGTTCCCATAGTTTCTTGTTGGTGATTCTTTCCGGCCCGGCCATCTGATCTTCAGTATAGATCCAGCGAAGACAGTTGTTGATGAAGGTCCAAAAGCTGTTGGAAATATTCTTTGTGCATTTGAATTCAGTACTTGCTGCATAATTCTGTTTTTTTGTCATGTTTCATTGTATATGAACTTAATATATAAGCAGTTTCATTTATCTTCACTTCATGAGTTAATAAAAGGCGTAAAAATTAGTGTCGATTAATTACCTAATGTTATATGTGTTGAATTATCCTACTACAGTGTAACTAATTACTGGTTAGGTTACTTAATCGATTAGAATAAACTGAATCAATGCTAATTTACCTGTCGATTGCGCTGGTCGATAGTATGACCAAGTGATCAGTACTCTTGGAGAAACTATATTACTCATACAGCCTCCCATACATAGAACATCCATTCATGAATATATATATATATATATTATATAGTGAAAACCTTTTTTTCCAACAGTTAATGAACTGTTATTGTGTTACAGAAAATATAAAACGTTTAACAGATAGCAAAGAAATCATTAACAAAGAGTAGTTTGAAAGATGGATTAGGTAACCAATGAATTTCTACTAACAAATGTGTAGTTGTATTTCTTCTCCTTGTATAGTATAACATACAGATAGTGTTACAACTACAAAAGCAACAAAAAAACTTTATGACACGTTCTCTTGTCTCTTAATTTGGCTTAGGTTGGCATTCATTTATTGTCGATTATTTAGATATAGTGAATAATATGCGGAATACCTTAAAGAACATGTATCTTGATCTTGATTGTATTGTCTGTCTGTCTGTTTTCGACATAGAACTTTGCACATATGTGCGGGAGTTCAAGTCGCCACACTCCCTCCTTTTAGCACACAAAACAACAGAAGAAAGTACAAGAAATGCATAATAGAGACAGTAAACAGAGGTGTGAGACAAAGGAATAGAAGTAACGAAGAACAATGTAGTTTCATTGGAAATCATAAGTCACAAGGAGTGGATGCATCTGAGCCAGCCATTGAGAACGATCTCTTTGAGCCATATCACCAATTGTTTCCAACCATTGGATTTTACCGTCCCAAGGACCCCAACCAGTCAGGAAGTCTACACCTTCCTACGTGACTGAGACTAACTGTTGTAGATTTCATTGACTGGTGAGGCCATGTTTTGGTTTGAGCGCCACTAGTTCTTTTCCAGCCTGACCTATCCTATGTCAACTAACATTACTCACTGTCGAGGAAGACGATGACTAGGCGTGCATGCGTAACACATGTCCTGACCATCTCAGTCGATACAATTTCACAGCGTCGTCGATTGATTTCCCCTCCTACCTAGAACTCGACCGATGCCTAACCACCTCAATATTGCTCACCTTATTATGCCACTTCACACGGGAGATAGAGCGCAGGCACCTATGATCAAAGACAGCTAATCTTTTCATGTCTTCCACTCTCAATGGCCAGGTTTCACAGCCATAGAGGAGGACGGAGCGAACTGATGAGCAGTACACACGCCCTTTGGTCGATAGCCGGATATCACGTCTACGCCAGAGACGGCGTAAACTGGCATATGCGAAACTAACCCTTTGTATCCGTGCTGAGATTTCGTCAGAGACCAACCCGTTCTCCGTTGATATTGTTATGTCTCTTTAACTGATTGATTTGTCCTTTTGCTTTCTTATGACTTTTGTTTTATTTCACCTTTTTTTATTGTTGCGAAGATGTAAAGTATAAAACTTGAATTGTTATTCGGTAATTAATAGTATTGTTATTCTCTTAGGTAGTATAAGAAAATAGGGCTTCAATAGCAGATCTCTAATATTATCCTGTTCTCTGAAGTCCTTATTAGTTTGCTTCACGATTACACATAAGTTCTCATCTCCCCCATCTCGCCCTGGGATGCCAAACTCGCTGTTTCCCAATCGAGTTCCACTCGTTGTGTTATTCAGTGTTAGCAGATTTTATTTTTTCAGTATCCATGGGTAAATTAGCGTCATATTATCATTTTTAAAATAATAGTAATAGTAATGCCACTGGAATGAATACGGTCAAGTAGATACTTCTGAAGTTATTCATTTAGGTATTGTGTCTGTTTCTTTCGTAGAATTGGTTTTTGGTGTAAATTTGGACACTTTTAAACTCTGACTTATTTCAAGCTTAGGCGAACCGGCTGACTGACTGTTTAACACTGAGCACTAGAGTATTTAATTTACTGATTAACATAGTGATATTCTGTCCGAAGATACAAAATGCATATAAACTATCTAGGCTCATTACTGAGCAACCGTACACTTTCCTTTACTGTTTTTAAATTTCCATTTAGTTAGGACAATTTTATACTCGTTTGTGTATGTCTGTCTATTTAATAATTTCTCATTTTTAAATTAGAATGGAGACCAACTGGAGCATAGCCCACGATTTCCAGCCAAAGATCAATATCCTAAACGATGCTATCCACGGCATTCATATCAACGTGTTGAAGATCGATCCATGATCACTTCATCACGTAGTCTTCTTGGACCTCCAAATGGTTATCCTATCAATAATAAACGATCACTTCCTTCTACCCGAGGAGGTGGTTTCAGGTAGCTTAGCTTTCTCTCCTAGTGCTCAGCCTATCCTCCGATTCTGCAGTTTATTTTGCACTTAACGATTTATGGTTTTAAAAAAGAGTAATAAACTTTAGCCTTAGTTGTAGAGCTGCTATTTGCTGCACTGCATGACTTTATAATGAAATGAATCTATCACAATTTCTATCTAGTCTATGATTTAGCGATTTAACCAAAAATTTTGCTTTCTTGTTATAATGACGATGATTCAGCGTTTTATGATGAAGCTATTCTTTTTGTTGGTTGGTTGGTTGGTTTTCTGTTTTGTACCTCGTGCCTTTTAAATTAGATGATAATTATTACACTGTTTGTTTTTATCAGTGCTATGATTTTCTTTTCCCCCCTCTTTGTTATACATCTCTTCCTATATTCATACATTAGAGGTCATTTGTATTCGTGTTCTGTGGGAATATTAATATTTTAACTGGTGACGAAATTATTATTATTACTATTATCGTATACCATTAAGCCACTGGGACTTTATCCAATGGCCCATGAATTCCAACTTCTGACAATTCACGTCATAGAATGAGCACTAGCCAATGTCTTCGGCGAGTATTTGTCTTCACACCCGACCTGCTGTATCCTACTGGTCACGACTCCTCGCTAGAACCCCAGGTAACTACCTACCTTAATAGGGCAAGTCGCTAGTGAGCACCTCATTGATATTGAAGTGTTGGTTTGTAGGGATTTGACTGGTTACAGGATTTCATCATGAGCTGACATTAGTTAGAGAACCATTGGAAAACCTGGGAGTAGTGGACAGCTGTTTCGTCCTAGTTTGGGACTCTTCATCAGTACGCACCCGCCGGGATTCGAACCCAGGACCTTCCGGTTACAAGGCGAGCTCGTATACCAATAAGCCACTGGGACCCGATCCAATGGCCCATGGAATCTAACTTCTGCCAAACTAGGACGAAACAACTGTCCAGTACTCCCAGGTTTTCCAATGGTTCTCTAACTAATGTCAGCTCATGATGAAATCCTGCAAACCAATCAAATCCCTACAAACCAACGCTTGAATTATTATTATTATTACTATTCTTATGATGGAGTAGTCAAGTGGTTGGTTGGTTGACACACGTACGTCACAAATTGAAGTTTTAAAGTACATACCTGTGAACACTTTTTTTATGATTTCATATCCAAGTAGAGTCAGCTGTAGAAATAATTCTCGTAGTTATTGTTTATTTCTCTATAACATTTTTTTGTTGTTATTGTTGTGTGGTTACTTTCATGTCATATGCTACTGTGGTGATCATATTATTATTACTGCCACTGCTACAGAAGGCATTGTATTCCAAGAGGTAGAATACAGGTAACATTTAAATGATGCCTCCCAGAAGGCGGATGAGGATGGCATTAAGTATGCTACTGTCATTGTTACTTGTCCAATTACGTACAATTGGCAAAATAATAACCAGTGTGAATTCTATACTTTTATCAAGTGTATCATCTATGTGTTGATGATGTAGAGAAATTTCACTACTGTCTCTCTGTGTTTCTCGATTCCTTTTTTTTAAAAAAATTTAATGCTTATCTAATCATCATTATCCTTATACTACCACTAGTATGATTACTGTTGCTCTTAATATGGCTACTGTGAACAGTTTTCGGTGTATATTTATGTGAATATATACCTTACGGATTAATGTTTCTACACACATTATTCTATTATCAACACTTTGCTACAAATGATTTTATGGCGTAATATGATTAAGCAGTGTAATGTGACAGTTTTAGTATTACCTGTTGTTGTTGAGTGCGGGAAATAATATTACTATCATCATTTCCTGTATTTATGTATTTTCATTGGTGTGTTAATGTTAACTTTTCTTTTCCTTCTATTCCTGTCAAAATCTATGATAAAAAACGAATATGATGATTGAATGTGTTCTAATAACAATGCAAATTATATAATGCGGGGGACATTCATGTTTTGCAGCATGAAAAAAGCTCAGTCAATGTCAACGCTTCCAGGAAGCTGGAATCATAAGATGTCTTATATGCAGGTTAGTGTTACACTTCTTGTTTTGTTTTATACCTGTGGGATATTTAATATGACGAAAACATGAAAGTCTAGTGATATGCATACACTGTTTGGGGGGGGGGGAAGGCAATGAAGTTAACGAAGATAGTGAGTTAGCTTGTAGGGATTTGATTTGTTTCAAGTTTGCATGCGATTAGCTCCCGCCAAAGGTAAGATAATGTTGCAGGACTGGACTACACTGACTCCTAGTTTAGAAACAGGATATGAAGTGGTAGAGCACGTTGACCGCTTCACTTATTTAGGGAGTACCATCAACCCCAACGGGTTGATCTCTGACGAAATCTCAGCACGGATACAAAGGGTTAGTTTCGCATATGCCAGTTTACGCCGTCTCTGGCGTAGACGTGATATCCGGCTATCGACCAAAGGGCGTGTGTACTGCTCATCAGTTCGCTCCGTCCTCCTCTATGGCTGTGAGACCTGGCCATTGAGAGTGGAAGACATGAAAAGATTAGCTGTCTTTGATCATAGGTGCCTGCGCTCTATCTCCCGTGTGAAGTGGCATAATAAGGTGAGCAATATTGAGGTGGTTAGGCATCGGTCGAGTTCTAGGTAAGGAGGGGAAATCAATCGACGACGCTGTGAAATTGTATCGACTGAGATGGTCAGGACATGTGTTACGCATGCACGCCTAGTCATCGTCTTCCTCGACAGTGAGCAATGTTAGTTGACATAGGATAGGTCAGGCTGGAAAAGAACTAGTGGCGCTCAAACCAAAACATGGCACCAGTCAATAAAATCCACAACAGTTAGTCTCAGTCACGTAGGAAGGTGTAGACTTCCTGACTGGTTGGGGTCCTTGGGACGGTAAAATCCAATGGTTGGAAACAATTGGTGATATGGCTCAAAGAGATCGTTCTCAATGGCTGGCTCAGATGCATCCACTCCTTGTGACTTATGATTTCCAATGAAACTACATTGTTCTTCGTTACTTCTATTCCTTTGTCTCACACCTCTGTTTACTGTCTCTATTATGCATTTCTTGTACTTTCTTCTGTTGTTTTGTGTGCTAAAAGGAGGGAGTGTGGCGACTTGAACTCCCGCACATATGTGTAAAGTTCTTTGTCAAAAAACAGATAGACAAGTTTGATCATGAATTGACATCAGTTAGAGGAACCATTGAAAACCGGGGATTACTGGACAATCGTTTCATCCTAGTTTCCTGGTACTCTCCATCAGTACATACGTATGACCTCATCCATTAAGCATCGAACACAGGAACTTTGGGTTACGAAATGAGCTTGTTGTCCATTTAGCCACTGAAAGGGGGCAGCTCAATGGTCCATGTATACAAACTTCTGCCATTTTGATATTTTAGCGCGATTGCCAGCCAATATTATCGGCGAGTATTTGTTCTGACATCCAGTCTGGAGGACCTCATCGTTCATGACTTCTTACAAAACAACTGTCTACTAATTCCTAGTAGTTCCTAATGGTTCTCTAACTGTTATCAGTCCCTGATCTGATTTGAAAGATAGTGAGATGATTTTTAAATAAAAAGAGAGTCAAAGAATAAAAAGAAGAATGGAAAAACAGAGGGTTTTTAGAATATGTTTTGATTACTTTTTTCATTTATATGACCTGTTTGTATCCAAGCCATTGAGTTTCTCTATTTAACAAGCGTCGTATTAGGACTAACTTACCGTTGGTCTCTAAAGAATAAAATTAAACTGCTTTGAGTGAACAACGTGTTTTGACGTGCGCCTGCTAAACCTACTAATTTTTAAATTAGCGTTGTTTACAAGGACTGATTCCAGCTAATTGAAACGTATATTGTCTCCTTAATTTAAATTGCCTACATAAATTTCACTTGTACCAGTGTTAACCGTGTGTTTATCATAAAAATCTAGGATCATCTTAAGTGGACACTACTTCCATCGCACTTATTCTGATTTCTTTTCAGACGGCAGATTTGTAATTTGTCGTTAGCACTGCACATTAAGAATTTGCATTCACTTTTTGTGTGTTAGTTCAAATAGCTTTAGCCAGTAGTACAATATTTTCCAGTAATCGGAATGATGTCAGTTTAATCAAATTGAATCCAGATAACGAGTCCAAGATAGAACGAAATGCGCATCTTGGATTCCACTGCTAGTCACCGTCCACCAATTAAAGTATATACTGACACCTTAATAATACAATAACAAATTCAAACTTGTTAAGCAGTAAATTTTATTTCAAACAGCTTAGAGACAAAGTAATCGATTTCAGATAACGTCCTTCCATTATTTATTGTGTTCTAGTACTGACAGTGTATAAACTCTATGCGCTTACTTGAACTCATTAAATCGTTCAATTGTTACCTTTCTTATTAATTATTTTGAAGAAAGCTGTAATAATTTCTCTCTGAATAATGATTTATTGATGCCCCCCAATATAGTTAGTTACTTCTTTCAATCATATTTTGTCTTCGTCTGCCTGTCTACCTGTAGTGACAGTGATTGGCCAACACAATCGATAAAATCGTCTGATTTACTTCAAAGCAATAGATAGAGATAGGCTGAGAGTTTAATTGAATGTATGATTATGAAGAAATTGTGTGAACATCACCCACCACGTCTTTCATGAAATGGTTGAATGGTGTGAAAACTTATCCTATTAACGATTTAAAAATTATGTGATGCTTTTTTGTTTCAATTAACCCGTATTAGTTACAGGATTTGTTCATGAGCTGACATTGGTTAGAGAACCATTGGAAAACTTGGGAGTACTAAACAGCTGTTTCGTCCTAGTTTGGGACTCTTCACAGCTCGTGATGAAATCCTGTAACCAATAAACCAAATCCCTACAAACCAGTACTTAAATAACTCGTATTATTTATTATTTCTGCTTTATTCATATATTTATAGCAAGAAAGGCTTCGACAAAATCGTGGTACAAAAGAATCTTATTCCCGGGATAGTCATACTTGTTATAATAATGGTAATAGTATAATAAATAACAGTAATCATAATGATTATTTCCCCTTTGGTGGATATGGTACACAATCTCAATATATATCTGATTTTAATCTACCAGTGGACAACAACAATTGAAATCATTAACAGTTTGTTTTTCTTTCATTTGTCCTCTCTCTCTCGTTGTATGTGTGTGTGTGCGTTTCGTGGTTTCATTGAAAAATTGTTTTATTTCAATGTTAGGTTAAACCTCCGTTTTTCTTTGTCTGTGCGTGTGTATGTGTGTGTGCGTTTTCTCCCTATTACGTGTTCATTTCTACCTCTTAGCAATTGTAATAATAGTTCTTTTATCATCTGGATATATGCTTATTTACATATGTGTGTGTGTGTGTGTAATTTGCCCCTCTCTATATATAAATATATTCGCGTCGATGTGAAGCGGGAGGAGGAGGTTTCAATACAATTTGCTTTACTTCTGTTAATCACCACGTTTAACATCGTTAATCTGCCTTCGGCTTGCTGCATTGTGTCATCTACTTTCATCATATCGTCATCAATATTTATCATATACATATTTTATTTGTTTTACTATGTGAATATTAACTTGTTACTATTAATACTACTAATATTATTTACTTGGCTGTGAAATTATGAAGATCTCTATCTATCTATCTATCTATACATGCATATACATATATATGTACCAAATATATAACAATATCTATCTGTTCATTCATTTTGAGAGGTATTGGTGCATATTGACATATATATATATATATATATATATTATATATATATACAAGCTGTTGAAGGTGACAACATATCGTCTATATGCGTATGAGTTGCCTTTGTTTGCTTCGTCATTATTATTATTATTACTAATATTACTATTATTATTATTATTAATAATATTATCAGCATAATCATCCACATCATCATTATCACCTTCGGTGCGGCTAACTGGATTTCGCATAGGAACTGAGTATTTCATATCGTAAACTCTCCTTTTCACGAAAAAAAACACCGCCGCTTTAATGCTGTTTATTTCAGAGATGATTTTCGAAAGAAAAAGACTGATGGGGAATATATATATATGCATACATGCATACATACAGAAACTCTATTTTCCACTTGGCATAAGTAACTTTGAGTATAAATAAATACTGTGTTCCCTCTGTGTAAACTCTTATATCTTGATTATTATTATTATTACTATTAATACAGTTGCTACTATTTTTTATCATTCTTTGTGTATGCAATAAAAAATGTGCGCCTAATTTTATTGTTATTATTATGTCAACAACAGTGTGACTACATTCCTGTTTACCTGTCTGCCTGCCTGTTGCCCTGTCTGTCTCTTCCTGTCAACCATCTTGCACATGTTTGCCTTCAATTTTTTCTCTTGTTGAGCTTGAGATAAATAAGTATGTTATATACTAATGCTCCATCTATATTCTCATCAAATAAAATTATGCATTTCTTAATAACTTTTTGTTTTCTCTTTTTTCCTTTTTTTTGTCTCTGGCTTGTGTTTTTCTCCCCCATAGAACACGGTGGTGGTACCTTTATCTCCCTCTCTCCTTCCCCCTCTTTGTCAATCAATGTTGTGCACTGCCTTAAGGATATTTCAACATGTCAATGCTTAATTCACAAACAAAAAAAAGGATATCTTTTTTTCGTTCAATGTTAAAGATTTCACCTTCATTCGGTAAATCGTCGTTAATGTTAAGTTTATTTGTTTATCATGCATAAGGATATTATGGAAACGTTTATTCTTACTCAAAGGAATGATAAGGGACTTTGTAATGAAAAAAGATTTGTACTTCAGGTGAATGATATTGGTAAAGCTGTATTATCTGAGGTTGATTTGTTTAACGTCATATTATATAGGCTTGCACTGATGATTATGTTATCTAGGAAGATAATGCAAGCTTTGTAATCAAAACTATCCAGTTCAAAGAACTGTGACTTTGTTTTAACTCTGATGAATAATTAAGGATGCTAGTTGTCAGTCATTCACACGTTTATGTAACAAGACGTTAGTCACTAGTAGTAATAGTGTCTAGTTTGCCTACGATAGGTGGGACATGCCTTAAATCTGATAGTCGAAATGTGCACATCTACAGTAATGCACTAAAATATTTTACATGATGATGACCCTACTATTGGCAAATACGGCTATACATGTTTAAATATTTTTCCTGGATTTCTGAAATAGATGTTTTGGTGTATAGTGTCTATAGAGTTCAAGGGACAGCTTCATGTGGCTACTGACACACAGTGTGTTTGAAATGGTTTTTGAAGTTGCGTCTGTATTAGGACCATACCACCTGATATGGACTACTGTAAGGTAAATCAGGATGTACAATTTTCGGAGTTGACCTTTATTAACCTCTAAAGAGAACATCTTACTGCCGTTTACTTCCCTACTCACCAGGAGTGCTACTCCACCCACTTTTAGTGTTAACCGTTATCTAAATGACCTTTTTGTCACAGTAGAACCTACAAGAACATCAGTCCAAGCCAGTGTAGCTCTTTGGGTTAATGTGATATGCAAGATACATCACCATATTAAGGTATCAGCTTTCAGCTATGCGTCTAAGTATATTCATTTCGCCTTGACTCTCTTTGTTTCAAGCCATTTTACGGTGTGACTATCTATTTAGTCATTATAAACCAGTGAAGTACGAATTTTCAGTAGCAGTGTGCTAGTCAGTGAAAGTCCATTGTTTTGTATTGATCGTGTGATTGATTTACTTTGTTCTTTGACCTCCGGTGTGGGCAAACCACTATGTCCGTGTTATATTGCCAATTAGAATGGTAGTAGAAAAAAATTAGATTTTCATGGTTAAACGATTCATAAGTTTAGTTAGTGATCTAATAGTATTGATTAAGGTAAATCATTTCAGCGTACTTGTTTAACATAACTAATTTGTTTTGAAATATTTTGTAGTCATGTATTTTAGTACAGTTGTTATTTTACATGTGATATTATATAAGGCTTAGTATTGAAACCAATGCTGTGTGCTATATTCAAAATTCTATTATTTATTTTATAGTCTGTACGTTGGTTAAACTTTGTGAACTGTTGTCAGTGGTTAACGGTCTTGGAGTTACTATGGTTTACAGATGTTAGATATAGAATTGTTCCCTCATCTTTTACACGCGTCCACACACACGCTCAATCACCATAAGTGTACTACTCTCAATCACAGATATGTGTCTACTATTCTGTTTATCAGCGTGACTAAGAGCAACTCACACATACACTGTCATTTGCAACGGAGAGTAGTTGTAAGTTATTCAGCTAACCGTTTTGAAGTATGATCTATTAGTTCATGTCTTAAGTGATTAAAATTTTGTGCTTTGTTTATGGAAAGACCTTCGCCTGCACAAATGAAGGAACTCTGAATTAAGCTTCTCTTAGATGAGAATCGTGATTTCTTCTAGTTGTGTAATTATCTTCACTTGGCATAAGGTTTTGCTCTTTGAATTAGTCTGTGTATACAAATCAAGGGATAATTTCGTTAGAGTTGTTATTAAGTAAGTGCACAACAATGTCCTCCATCAATCCAGTTTTCACTTTGGCTAAATATCCAGGAATTTAGACTATGCAGATTCATAAGGATTATTGTAGGCTCAAACACTACATATTATATCACAATTCTTAACTGTCATGTATAAATCATTCTCAAGTTCTAGCTCAAATTATTGTAGAGACCTTCAATATCCCCATAGAATTCAAAGTACATAAGTCGATTATTGCAGCTGGTAGAAAGTCAGTCCTTGTAATGTTAGCGATATGGAGTATCAAAGCAGAAGTTAACCTGCAACAAAGCTGAGTACAAATGAAGAGAGTGAACATTATGCTAAATGACTTTAGTTGGAATAAGGGAGTCTTCAGTAGTATGGTATACTTGTTTGGTGCATCGTTACCAGAAGTGGTAATCAAATTTAGTCTTTGTAATTAAGCTCAGTGACTAGGAACTATATATATGTATAATTATTTAGCACGTGATTCAGCATACAACAAGCTAGAGAATATTTCTGTAGCTCACGTGGATGATTCGAAATTAGTAGTGTTCTCTGAGCTGGTTGGTGAAATTGCGGAGCTTTCGTTGTCCTCCTGGACAATATCTTCAGCGTAATATTTTTCCAGCTGTCCATAAAGATATCTGCTACGACAGAGGATATTGGTGATCCCATTTGTACACCTTCTGTTTGTCTATATATTTTGCCTTGGAATTTAGAGGCTCATCAAGTCAAGAGAAAAATAATGGAACTATATAAACGAAGTTGGAAAGTTGTGTGAGTACGTTGATATGATTACGAGCAGTAATAATCTGTGCTCGAGACGTCATCAGTAAATATTACTCTATAACACTGTGAGACTTTTGATTGGACACTAGTAAATAGTGTGACGTTTCTAGTCCTTTCTTTGGTGAAGACTGAATTTTATCAGTCAGGTTTGCAATGTGGCCACCATTCTAGGTAGCTGGACATCACGATGTACATTGATTTGATTATATTAGATGGTTGGAGGCAATCGACAGGAAGCCTTGGACCTAGGTTTCGTGCTAGTTGGGACATGAGTTCCTTCAAAGTTGCAGATACGCCTTTCTGATGAGTGCCAACTAGCACGAAACCTAGGCCGAAGGCTTCCTGCTGATTGCCTCCAACCATCTAATATAATCAAATCACTATGAAACTTTATCAAAATAAAATTTACCCATAGTGGAATTATACTCTGATTATAACAGTAGAAGATAAAAGATTCGGTAGAGGGATGTTTATTTGGAATTCGGTATCTCTATGTAACGAAATTTGTGCGTCGGTGGCACAGCGGTTAGGACGCTCGCCGACCATGCATATGGTTCGAGGTTCGATCCCCGGCCGACCCACGTTTTTACCTCGCTTAGCCAGTAGTGAGACTGGTCAAGAGGAAAGGTTGGGTATGAGGCTAGCAACCCCATGTTGTAAAATGAACACTGCTACAGAAACTTAAAGCCTCTAGCTTGAAGCCCTATTTTCCACTGGGAACGTGAAGGAAAAATAAATATAACGAAATTATATATACCTTATCAAAAATCTTCCGTATTGTGCGACTTCTTCTCTTCGTATCGTTTTTTGTCTTCTCTTCACGTCTCACATGTTTTTCTGCAGCGTTGAATCGTTTACTCTCTCTCCCTCTCTGATGTCAAATCTATCTCTCCGCTATTTGATATTTTTATGCCAATAGCCGTCTCTTTATATACTACTGATAAATCTTTTCAGTAGCACATGCTACAATATTTTTCTTACTATCCATTGGTATTATTATTATTATCTTAGCTAATTAAATTGATCCTAAGTTTCCTCACATAATTATTAACAAATTCATTGACTCATTCTTAATCATCTTTACCTGATGAATCTACAAACTATCCAGTATCATACTAACTTCTACAAATTAACTGTATATCACTCTAGATGAAATAATATATTCCTCATATACTAAGGTTTTCCACAGTGAAATAGTTTCCTTAATGTTTAACTGAGGATTTAGTATGACTTTGCTGAAATATATATTAGGCTTAGGACATAGGTACAGGTGTTATGAGATTATGAAGGAAAAGTTAGATTGTTTATTTCATGTATCATGCTGTGACAGGTGGTGAATCATTTCTGTTATAAATAATGTTAATCCAATTAACGATGTCAGATTTCGGAACTTCCACCGGTTTCCACTTCTTAATGTGATAATTGATTGCCGCGTGAACTGGAATACCTGGTTTTTTCTCAAGTAAACAACCTACT